AAAAAAAACGCTATTATAAGATAAAAATGGTTGTATAGAAAAATATGCACTGAATAATGTTGCTTGGCATTTTTTCCCCAAAAATAAAAGACATTAGGTTTGTTTGTACTTTTATTAAAACACACACCGTCATCGACAAAAAATACTCTTAACCAAAAAGGTACTTTTCAAATAGGCCTATATTACCACAACATCTTCCTTTTGGTCGTCTACTTCAGCGGAAGACTGTAGGCCATTGTAATATCCATGGTAGATGGGAGGAATGTATTGCATCAAGGATTTGACATCATCTAATTTTTTCTTATTGATTTTGTTGGGCGCATTTCTTTTTAAATGTAGTGCTGGAATAGAACTCCTTCCACGTTTCTTTAGGTTCAACACTAAAAACTCTTCGTTCATCAAGTGTTTGAGTTTCATTTGAAAAGGTTCTTCGCTGTCAAATTTAAAGCAAATAGCTTTGGAAAATCGTGGAGGAGTAACACCATCTGTACAAAACTTGCTTTTTGTGTTAAAGTAGGTCTCTTGCACCCTAGACAAATCGAGGAAATCCTCACTCATCATGCATGTTACGATGAAGTTCAGTGTTTTGTTCCACACTTTGCTACTATCTCTCTCCATTGCCCAGGACTGTACACATTTTGGCAGTGCTTGGTATGATACTTTTCTATTTTTGAAAAGTCACGGTCTGATGGAAGATAAGTATGCCCAGTTATCAGGAAGTAATGTTCTATTGTTTCAAAACGTTTACTAGCTACAAGGTGTGACCAAAGCGACATTATGTTCCAATTTTTATTTTGTCCTCCGCAGTTGTCGGTAAATATTACCAACTTCTTTGCGTGGACATTTGCTACTAATAAGTACTTTACAATACAGCTTCCTATTTCATCACTACCCCTTTTTCCAACTGATTCATCCCACATGAACATAAAACCTTGTCCAGAAGTGCAGTTATGGATACCTACGTTATAGGTCCACAGTTTCCTGCAGTAAAATGCAGGTCCACATGACAGTTTTGGTGTAGGGAGGGTTTGTTGCTAAATAATTGGGATCGCTGTCACTGTCATCAAATTCTTCATACAAGTCTTCTAGGTTTTCATAATAATCTTTAAGATTTCTAACACATTTCCTCTTTCCCTCCATTTCTCATGAGGAGCTTGACACTGTCTTCCCCAAAACTTTGCAAACAACCAGTTGAGGTAATAAAATGCAATGCAAATACAGAGCAATCTAACGGCAATCATTGAAATCTAAACGGTGCTGCTTGTAGTTTGTTGAATTTACTCATAGACAGCACTGCTAAATTCGGTTAGGCCAAAATGATGCTTGGCACTTTTTTCTCCCGACCCCTTCAAATGATGTTACAACGTTGTTATCATCATTACCATATCTATCTTTATCCCTACACTTTGTTATTCTTGGTTTAAATTCTCTTCGACTACTATTTAATTTCTGGTAGAATTTCTGATTGACTCCTAAGAGTCCCATTCAAGCTCTTCATCTTCTTCCTTCTTATTTTTCGTCTATTTTCCTGATTCTGCGTTATTGCAGTTTCCTATATACTCATTTTTCCGTCCATTTATGTTTGCACACGCTTCCTTAAATCATTCCGTTCCATTTTGTTAATAATAATAGTTGCTTCGGATTGAGGCGCTATAATATTAGTTAATTAGTTGAGTAGTGTGGATATTAATGGCAGTGTCTTGGCTTCGTCCTAACTTTAGCCTCAATAGCTTCCAGGGTAATGTGCTCCAGCATCTTGACCAACATGTATATAAAGAAAGATAAAAGTCGGCTAGTGACATGGTATCTTTCACCATGTACCTCTTACCCAGAGAGGCCAATACCAAATTCGTCAACTATAGGAATATTTAAAAATTTATTGTAAAAATAAAGCATAACGGTTAATCTGATGAATGTAGAATTTCATTCTCTTCCGTTTATTATTTAACTTTTTTTTGTAGAACCACTAGGAACGGAGATATTCCTAAAATTATCAAGATGGCGACGGTATCGGTCATTTCTCGAGGTCAAAAATTTAGGAGCCTACCAAATTTAGGAACCAAGGGAATTTAGGTCCGAAGAACTAGGAGGTAGTAATCGAACCAAGGCGTCCAATCCATCTTTCGGGATATTCTGTATTCAAGTAATCATAATGAATCTTGTTGAAATCACATTTCTCTGTAGATATTGAGCGGTACATCTTCTAAACAAGTTAGTAAATTGTTTTGGAGGAAATACAAATAGTTGTCTCAGTTAATGTTTCAGGCAGCTTAATTGAGGTTCATGCTCTGTTTATGTTGGTTGTTCCTGGAACTTGTATCTCAAAGTGTCTGGATGTTCCTCATTGTTTATGGTTACAGAAACAAATGTTCCTACAAGTTGCTTCTTTCCGTATTTAGCGATATATACCATTAGGAAATTTAGAAACATATGTAAACATTTTTGTTTCAGACGCAGTGTGAAAAAAAAAACTTGTGTGCCGTAAACATCTTCGAAAACATTGTTCATTTAATTGAGATATAGAAAAATGTCGAATGTTTATGGAACCCGCGGGATAAAAGTTTTAACGGTCATTACAAAAAGCAAGATTTGGGGGTGAAGATTAGTAAAGCACTCATATAATATCAGTGCTACTCGTACGCCAAGTTCTTTATAAAGCGTTTTCCAATAAGAGGTGTTATTTTGAATAGTCCGTTATTTCGGTAGATGTCACTTTTGAAGCTGTCATTTTTTGACATTTGACAAGTAGAAAGTACGCCATTAATAAAAATGGAACGATACACGCTTCAACAACGCATTGAAATTATTAAAATTCACTATAAAAATGGTGAAATTTTGGCAGAGACGATTCGTAAAACTCAAACATTTTTGGGTCGTCGTGAAGCACATTGTCGGACCGCAATACAGAAATTGGTGGAAAAATTCGAGCTGTTGGGACAAGTTACTGATGTGAAGAATAAAACCCGTGCACGTCGCTCAAGAACAGCCGAGAATATTGCTGCTGTAGCCGAAAGTGTTGAAGAAAACCCAGGTTTGTCCATTCCTCGTCGTTACACCGTATTTTGCATAAAGATTTGGGTCTTAAGGCTTATAAACTTCAGTTAACACAAGAACTCAAGCCGTCCGATCGTCAACAACGTCGTGTCTTTGCTGATTGGGTCGTTGAAATGCATGAAAATGATCCGGAATTTTTGATCCGGAAGAGAAGGTGTACGCCAACAGCCCAGCGTCGATTCAAGACCTCAAAGATGGAATTCGTGAGGCTATTGAGGACATAGGGCAGCCACTTTGCAATTTGGTTATGGAAAATTTCATGGAAAGGATATTGTCCTGTAAGCGTGGTCGTGGTGGTCATTTACCTAATGTTATTTTCCACTATTAACGGCATACCTTCTTCTTTGTAATGAAATAAACATCCGATCATTTATACTAGAAAATGACATTTTCTTATTGGAAAACCCTGTATTTCCATTATCGATCCTGGATTCTGCTATTAAATCATCATTCTTTAAAGAACTCGTAAGGCGTATGATACCATGTTTATTTCTCTCTAAAAGAATCGGCCAAGTCCAACATTTACGAACTTTATTTTCCTCTTTTTGTAAAATAATAATAATTGCAACCACTGTTGCCTGTATATCGCACCACATTGTATGTAAATACTGAAACATACACTAATCTGATGTAGACGGAAAATTTCTTGGTATGGACAGAATGTTTACGTTTTGTTATTGTTTCTATTTCATAAACAGGTTACGACAATCAGAAACAAAATGTTTCCCTATATTTATTTGTTGTGATCGTGATGAGCAAACGTGTTTTTATGCAAACAAAAACAAGCAATAATATTTTTTATGGAAAGAAAAATGGCAAGTGTTGCACCATTTTGGAATCTTGACTAAACAGACCTTCTTTTAAAAGTACTTGCCAAGGGTGCTGTAGTACTCCTTTTTTTAGAAATGGTGTATCAAACTTAATAGAAGTTACATAAGTTTTTTCAAACCTTAAGTCAATAAAACTAATATTTTTTTAGTTTTTAATATATTTTAACTACAATTTTTTTTAGTTTTTGTTCCTATAGGACTTTGTGAAATTGCTATAATATTATAAACTAATACCTAACAACATAACATAATTCAAAATACAGGGTGATTCACATAAGAACCGACACAGAGCAGGAACATGTAGAGAACAATAAATTAAGATGATTTAAAGTAACTTACCTCTATACTAAATTGTACACCTGAGGAGTTATAGGCCTTCAAAGTTGGCTCTTAAATTTTTAAAAAGTTCAATATCTTCGAAATCAATTAAGCTAGAAAAACCAAATTTCGTATACGTTATGGGTGTACCAAGGGTATTAATTGGTAGCAAATTGAACTCAATTGAGACATTTCAAAGGGTTGATTAAGGGTGATGGTACTCTAAATTTTGACTGATCTTTTTAACCTTTTGACGGATTTAATACATTACTACTTCATTTCATGTGGTATTTAATTCTAAAACTTTTCTTATTCTTATTATTTTTTAAAAAACTTTTACGTTTTCATAAAAAACTTAAATAACTAAAGACACTTATTTCGTAATCTTATTTAAAATAAGAGAAAATTCAGTAGTCGGCTATGAAATTGTACGTCAAAGTTGACAAATAGGTTATAAAATTATTTGACAACAAGGTTTTATAACCTATTTGTCAAGTTTGACGTACAATTTCACAGCCGACTACTGAATTTTCGATGATTTTAATAGCATTAACGAAATACGTGTGTTTAGTTGTTTGAGTTTTTTATGAAAACGACAATGTTTTTTAAAAAATAATAAGAGTAAAGAAAGTTTTAGAATTAAATTCCACATGAAATGAGGTAATAATGTATTAAATCCATCAAAAGGTTAAAAAAATCTGTCAAAATTTAGGGGACCATCACCCTTAATCAACCCTTTGAAATGCCTCAATTGGTCTCAACTTGCTACCAATTAATACCCAACCCAACCCAACCCTCGGTACACTGATAACGTATACCAAATTTGGTTTTTCTAGCTTAATGTATTACGAAGATATTCAATGTTTTAAAAATGTAAGACCCAACTTTGAAGGCCTATAACTCCTCAGGGGTACAACTTAGTATAGAGATAAGTTGCGTTAAATCATCTTAATTTATTGTCCTCTACATGTCCCTGCTCTGTGCCGCTTCTTATGTGAATCACCCTGTATAAGAAATAAAATATTACATTTAAATACTCATTTACAAGCTATCAATAATCTTTAGAAGTATTTTTCTTCAAAATATTAAAATGTCACTTAGTGAGTTTTGACAGTAATAGGACGATATTCTTGAAAATTGTGTAGCTTTATATCGGTATGCTCTTGAGCTAGCGCCTCAGCCGCAGCGACCTCGGCTTCATTATAATATATCTTCTTGAATACAGTGTAACATCACATCGATATGGGATTGATAATATGCCTCGGCCGCAAGCGACCTCGGCTGAATTAGTAAATATATTCTTGAAAATTGTGTAGCTTTATATCGATATGCACTTAGGCTAGTGCCTCAGCCGCAAGCGACCTCGGCTTCATTATAATATATTTTCATAAATGCAGTCTAGGTTCATATATTATCGTAATGGGATTGATGATATGCCTCGGCCGCAAGCGACCTCGGCTTAATTACTAAATATATTCTTAAAAATTGTGTAGCTTTATATCGATATGCTCTTGAGCTTGCGCCTCAGCCGCAAGCGACCTCGGCTTCATTATAATATATCTTCTTGAATACAGTGTAGCTTCACATCGATATGGATTTGATAATATGCCTCGGCCGCAAGCGACCTCGGCTTAATTATAACAAAATTATTAAAAATTGAGTAGTTTTGTGTCAATATGATGTAGTGCCTCGGCCGCAAGCGACCTCGGCTTAATTATAACAAATATTATTAAAAATTGAGTAGTTTTGTCTCAATATGATGTAGTGCCTCGGCCGCAAGCGACCTCGGCTTCATTACAATATATTTTCTTCAATATAGAGTAGTATCACATCGATATTATGCCTCGGCCGCAAGCGACCTCGGCCTAATTTTTAAAAATTGTTTAAATTACTTACCGATTCATCATCATCCAAGAATTATTGTTGCTTTGTCCCATTTCTTCAGCAATTCACAATAAACCATTAAAATAAATCAAATTAATTTGAAAACATTTCGTTTGACAATCGTTTGGTAACAACATAACCTCACCTGTCAAAATATCAATTTCAAATTAAAAGTTGTAATTAAAACTGTATTTATTCATCAAACTTTTAATTAATTCGTATAAAATCGATTTAAAACTAATTAAATTTAATTACGACAAAATTGTTTTAAAATTGTGGTGAATTATTATTATTTTTTTTTTTAATTTAATTTTTGTTAAGTTGGCGGATTCAAAAATTAATCTCGACCCCTCTTTATTAATCTCGAACCCCTCGATTTTTAATCTCGACCCCCCCAAATTTTATTTCCGGTTAAGCTACTTCCGAGTCTTATCAGCGCCATGTTTGTGTTTTAGTGGCGTCTTATTTTAATTAAGTTTTATTTTGGATATTTTGTTAATTATTTAATTAATTTTAGTGTTATTTATATCCCGAGTAAGTTCTTTTTTATTTTATTTACTTCGCTTCGTTTAATCTATTATTTTTTTTGCTAAAATGACCGTTGAAAACTTGTTCAAACGAGTTATGACGTGTACAGGGGTTATGATAAGTAAAAAAATTTTTGGTTCATATAACAACATTCCTTTTTGTGGTACCAAACAAAGATTAACATAACCGGAGGTCGACGCATGGAAATGAAGTGACTCAGCGTCACCGTGGGCGTCGATGAGGTTCGTCGAAACCGATTCCATTCAAAAATCCCACTAAAAATAGTCCAAAACAAACACCAAAAAGAAAATAATGAAGTTATTACACAATCATATCCAATTAAATCGAAATAATCCTTATAAATCGTTAACTGTAAACTTTAATCGTTCTCTTTGTTTTCAGGTTTGCTCGAAAAATTCGCTTCATGGTGTTTATTAAAAGGGTATTTAAGTTCATTTCCTACTTCCTGGGTGGACAAAACGGTTCTTAACTGAAAAGGACCTTGCTTGAAAAGAGGTGAGTGTTTTTTTTTCTTGAAGATATAGGATTCTTTCTAAAAAGACGTTTCAGTGTTGACCCGTTTTTCCTTAACGAGCGGATCTCGCCTCGAATTTGCATTCTAAATACAAACCCGGACGACAATTACAAACGATTACTTGCGTCATAAACTCTTCCGGATCGAATGTGTAATGTTTAATTAGAAAATTTATTATTAACAACCGGAAGAGATTTAAAATTTAAATAGAATTTGACATTTCAACCACCATCTTGACTTAAAAAAAATTTAATCGACCAAATTGTTTATAAAAATTGATTCTTTTAAACCTGGTACAAAAACTTTTGCAATACTCTCAAATGTATTCTCCCTCTCGCTCAAAACTTATCTCTTTTTATCCCGTTTTTCGTTCCGTTCGGTGCTTTTCCCCTCTGCCGAGTGCTTAAAAGTTTATAAATACACCTCGAACGAACCGTTTCGCGTTCATTCCAACCAACGAAACGAACGTTGACGCCGTTTTTAGTGTAGTATAGGAGAGGCTTTTTATTCCTTTAGAAGAAGAGGTTATTGTTTCTTAATTCTCTCCTATAGACCGAGAAAAGGTGTCAAAAAAGTTATTCCAAGTTAATCTAACAAGTTTTCAGTGAGTTTAATAAAAAAAAAGTTTTTGGTGCGATTATGGAACGGTTTAATGAGTTTAAACGTGAGATTTTAATGGGAAATCGTACGTTGAAGAGGTAAGAACCGATTTTTTTTTAATTATGTAATTTGAGTCAAAATAATTTTAAAACGTCAAATGGGGGATTTTTAAAATTCTTTTTATTGTTTATTATTCAAGGTAACATGTTTTAATATGGTTGGAATGTTGCCTTTTTTCGTGTTTGTTAGTTTTTTATCAGCATATTTATCGATAATTCCTAATCACAGGGCGTATTTAGTTGTAAATCTTGATTTGAAACAAAAAGTGAGGCAACAACTATTTGTTGTTGATAAATAATTTAGTTGTTTTTAAATCAACATAAAAATAAATTAGATCCTTTTGTTTTGTTGTAAACAAACAGATTAAAATGTAATCAAAAAGAACGTTACTAAAACTATTAATAGTGAAAAATCAATTAATAACGATTTTAACAAACAAGCCATTAATTACACATCCGGTTAGTTTCAAAGTAATAAGATTTCCTTTTTGATTTAAAAACTAAAATAAACGTTGGAACGGATTTTTGTTTATTTTTAGGATTTTTTTTTTGGGATAAAGGCCAGATTTTTTTTGTTATGGAAAATCTTCATCAAGGTAATTTGTAAAATTTTAATTTATAAATAAATAAATCAATCAGGAAGAAAAATCGTTCTTGGAAGAAATTTATTATGTTCAATTATAAAAATATGAACCGTTTCAAATACAACCTTGGACTTATTCCATCGGTAATTGAAAACGTATGGTGATTAAAAATCAAATGTGCATTTAATATTACCCGGTTATTCAGTCTGAAAGGAAAATCTATTCTTAGAAAACATAATTTATTTATTGGCGATGCTTAAACTATAGTTTTAATTAATCAAAATGTATGTATCATGTTTTTGGACACCTTATAAAGTCAACATGTGTATTGATGTGCTGCTTTGACTCCTTCTGTACAACTGTACTGCTCACAGAGAAATTAATATTCTAATTATAAATGAATGTAATAAATTAAATTGTCTTTATGTGTATATTGTGTGTGTTAATTTTGAAACAAGAATATTTTTGTTGAAGATTTATAGTTACTAAACGTATTGAAATGAAATGATACTGCTTAAAGAAGACTATTTATTACATGCAGGAAACTGGATGTTGCTGCCAAAAGATTAGATACTATTTGCAGAGACAAGATATTGCTTGCAGAAGTTATTTTATAATAATATATTGTTTATAAAACAATTTATTGCTTGTAGAAGGCTAGAAACAGCTTGCGTAAGTCCAGATATTTCTGACATAAGCCTAGATACTGTTGGCAGAAGATTAGTTATTATCAATGAAAGACTAGATCAGATTGATAGAAGACTACTACTAGCAGAAAGATTGATATTGCTGATATAGAACTAGATAGGGTTAACAGAAACCTGAATGCTATTGGTACACTCAATTTACTGATTGTATAAGTTTAGATGCGTTTAGATTGCATGCAGAGACAAATTACTGTATGTAGCACACTACTTAGACATTATTAAAGTTCAGATATTATTTTCAGAAGACTAAGTGCTCTTCAGAAGACTGTTTATTGCTTGTAATAGGTTAGTTACTCTTGACATAAAACCAAATAGTGTTTACAGAAGCCTAGATACTGTTAGCAGAGACAACATACTCTTTGCACAAGATTAGTTGCAGATTGTAAAAGTTCGTATGCTACTTTTAGAAGGCTAGATGAAACTATTTATTGCTTGTAAAGACTAGAAATAGCTAACCGTAAGTCTAGATACATCTGATATAAGACTAAATATTGTTGGGAGAAGATTAGATCACACTGATAAAAGACTACTACTAGTAGAAAGATTAATACTGCTAATGTAGAAGTATATACTAGTACTTCTTAATCAAAATGGCCGCTTAACTGTCAAAAATTAATGTCAGGATTTATGTAGGGATGAAAAATGACTGATTTTATCTTAATTTTGAGGATAATCACGAGGTGAGGTTAAAAATTGATTTAAAATCGTCAATTTTTCGAATCAAAATGGCCGCCTAGATGTCAAAATCTATTGTCAGAATTTATGTAGAGATGAAAAATCGCTGATTTTATCTTAATTTTGATGATAATCGCGAGATTCGCTTACAAATTGATTTAAAAATTGTCGGGTTAAATATTAATTTAAAAAAATCACTTTTCCGAATCAAAATGGCCGCATAACTGTCAAAATTTAATGTCAGGATTTATGTAGAGATGAAAAATGACTGATTTTATCTTAATTTTGATGATAATCGCGAGGTTGAGTTAAAAATTGATTTAAAAATGTCAATTTTGTAATCAAAATGGCCGACTAACTGTCAAAATTTAATGTCAGGATTTATGTAGAGATGAAAAATGACTGATTTTATCTGAATTTTGAGGATAATCACAAGGTTGGGTTAAAAATTGATTTAAAAACGTCAATTTTCCGTATCAAAATGGCCGCCTAGACGTCAAAATTTAATGTCAGAATTTATATAGAGATGAAAAATCGCTGATTTTATCTTAATTTTGATGATAATCGCGAGGTTCGCTTACAAATTGATTTAAAAATGTCAATTTTGTAATCAAAATGGCTGCCTAACTGTCAAAATTTAATTCCAGAATTTAAGTGGAGATGAAAAATCTTATTTTATCTCAATTTTGATGATAATCGCGAGGTTGGGTTAAAAATTAATTTAAAAAAATCACTTTTCCGTATCAAAATGGCCGCCTAACTGTCAAAATTTAATGTCAGGATTTATGTAGAGATAGAAAATGACTGATTTTATCTTAATTTTGAGGATAATCACGAGGTTGGGTTAAAATTTGATTTAAAAATGTCAATTTTGTAATCAAAATGGCCGACTAACTGTCAACATTAAATGTCAGGATTTATGTAGAGATGAAAAATGACTGATTTTATCTGAATTTTGAGGATAATCACGAGGTTGGGTTAAAAATTAATTTAAAAAAATCACTTTTCCGAGTCAAAATGGCCGCCTAACTGTCAAAATTTAATGTCAGGATTTATGTAGAGATGAAAAATGACTGATTTTATCTGAATTTTGAGGATAATCACGAGGTTGGGTTAAAAATTGATTTAAAAATGTCAATTTTCCGTATCAAAATGGCCGCCTAGACGTCAAAATTTAATGTCAGAATTTATATAGATTTGAAAAATCACTGATTTTATCTTAATTTTGATGATAATCGCGAGGTTCGCTTACATATTGAGTTAAAAATGTCAATTTTCTAATCAAAATGGCTGCCTAACTGTCAAAATTTAATGCCAGAATTTAAGTGGAAGTGAAAAATCTTATTTTATCTCAATTTTGATGATAATTGCGAGGTTGGGTTAAAAATTAATTTAAAAAAATCACTTTTCCGAATCAAAATGGCCGCCTAACTGTCAAAATTTAATGTCAGGATTTATGTAGAGATGAAAAATGACTGATTTTATCTCAATTTTGAGGATAATCACGAGGTTGCGTTAAAAATTGATTTAAAGACGTCAATTTTCCGTATCAAAATGGCCGCCTAGACGTCAAAATTTAATGTCAGAATTTATATAGAGATGAAAAATCACTGATTTTATCTTAATTTTGATGATGATCGCGAGGTTGGCTTAAAAATTGATTTAAAAACGTCAATTTTCCGTATCAAAATGGCCGCCTAGACGTCAAAATTTAATGTCAGAATTTATATAGAGATGAAAAATCACTGATTTTATCTTAATTTTGATGATGATCGCGAGGTTGGCTTAAAAATTGATTTAAAAACGTCAATTTTCCGTATCAAAATGGCCGCCTAGACGTCAAAATTTAATGTCAGAATTTATATAGAGATGAAAAATCACTGATTTTATCTTAATTTTGATGATAATCGTGAGGTTGGGTTAAAAATTAATTTAAAAATTAAATATTTATAATCAAAATGGCCGTCTAACTGTCAAAATTTAATGTCAGAATTTAAGTAGAGATTAGAAATCACATTTTACTTCAATTTTGATGATTTTTGAGAGATTAGGGGCGAGGGCAAAACATGGATGATGGGGGGAGGAAGCGGAGGGGCGGAATGGGGGGTGGATGGTAGAGAATCTGGAGGTATATATACAGAGTGTCCGTAAAGTAGCGGATATAGGCGATAAAATCATTACAAACGGATTATGGAAAAATCTCTGAACGGGTCTAAAGATTTAACTTTTTTCCGATTTTTTGGTGTACATTTTAAATTTTTTCCGCCATTTTTAAACGAGTTATGACGTCATCGATACTTTTTTCAAATGGCAATTCCCTATTTTTTTTACTGAATATGAAAGAGGATGTTTTTCTGAATCTAGTACAGTCAATATTAATATTAGTTACGCTTTACTAAATCACTTTATAACCTCACTTTTAAAAAAATGGCGGTTATTTGACATTTGACAGTTTATAACCTCACTTTTTTACTTTTCAACGTAAACATATCGTGTTTGGTATCAAATGATAGCATTTTCGATTCTTATTTCGATTATTTCAATATTTATCAAAAAATCGTTATATTTAATTTTGACAGTTTATAACCTAACTTTCTTATTTCTTAACCCAAATATATCATGTTTGGTATCAAATTGAAGAATTTTTAATTCTTATCATTTCAATACTTATCAAAAAATCGTTAATTTATTTTTGACATTTGTTTAAAATAATTGGTTACCATAGTCACTTATGGCTGCTGCTATTTTTATCAAGTAAAGCAAATTTGAAGAAGTTAATCATCAAAGTAATTCTTCTCGACAATTTTCTTATCTAACCAACATTAATATTGAGTGTACTAGATTCAGAAAAAGTTTATAATGATTTTATCGCCTATATCCGTTACTTTATGGACACACTGTATATTATATTGTATTATAAATTATAAAAAACAATAAAACGCTTATTATTATATCAACAATGCGTAATGAGTGTATACAGGAAGTCCCGTATCTTCCGGATCAGAGCATTGTGTTTAAAGTTGTCCAATAGCGATTCATAGAAAAAGTGTAGTTCTCTTTCCGTGTCGAATCTATTGGTGAATATACGTGAGAAACGAGTTGTGAACGGCGAACCGGCCGAATGTGGGACCGATTGCCTGGGTCTGAATTACGATCTGCTATTGAACGACTTTGAATCATATAATGCTCTGATCCGGAAGATATGGGACCTCTGTATATACTTGAAAATGAGGTAGTTTTATATCAAAATGGTATCGACGTAGCGCCTCGCTCGCTAGCAACCTCGGCTTAATTAGGAAATATATTCAACTTGATTACCAAGAATGTCAAAAATTACAAATTACTTATTTTATTTAATAAAAAAGTTGTTTTGAAACAAAAAATATTTAAAATAGGAATAAAATTAGTGGACATTTTTATGTGCCAATTCGAATTTTTATTCTACCATTACGAGTGTGATAAATTTTTGTGAATTTAATACAATTTTTTACATTTTTAATTTATTACTAACGTCCAATACCAGATTTCATAGTAGCCAAAGTATAAGCCCCTTGCATAATCTAAAAAGTACGTCATAATCAGTTTCAATGAGTCATCGTTTAAAAAATGTAAACCTTTTTAAATGCAATAAAAGATAACTCTCCAAGTTCGCCGCATTGTAATCTAACGGGTTTTTGCGATCGAAGAATCATTAATTGAAGGTCTTTTCTCAATCGAACGTCAGCGTACCATTTTAAATCATAAGCCACGCCGCCGACTGCTGTACTCTAAAAGATTTGAAAAATATGATTATCTAATTGGTTAATTCGCTTTTATTACCGCCCTTATAATTCTTTCTCCGCTTATACAACCAATGAATAATGAAACAATCCAACCGACGGTATTCATAAAAGAAAAAGGAGTTGGCACGTTTAAAACTACCAACAGACTGGTGCCAATAATGATGTTGTAAGTTACTAAACAAGGCATGGTTAATAAGGCTATTGAATTGTTGAGTTCATCTGACAAACTTAATTTTGTATTAAAAAAAAAAAGAACATATTAGATTATTTTTAAGACTCAAAATCATTTACTTACTTTATTATACGAATGTGGTACATAATACAATGCCGCAACCTTTCTTTTTGATTAAAAAAATCATTATCGCAATAAACATTCTTTAGCTTAGAAATTAAATGGCTAAACTGCAAAATAATCAATTCCTGGGTCCCCACAACTATTCCAAAGAAAAGTACTCCTTTCGCAGTCACCGTAGTCCCGCAATAAAATTGAATAAAAAGATGTAAATAATAAAGCCAACCTACATCAATATCATACGGAAATTTCATATTAGTCGCAAATCCGCACAAGATTGTAGAATTATTTATTTTCTTATAATGAATGCAACTACGAATATTAATCAAAGGAAACGAAGCGTAACATATCCCAACTATCGTACAATATAAGAAAAGCACTATAGTGATAACATCCATTAATTTACTCAATTTTTCAGCTTTTGGTGGTTTACCAAAAATACCAAAATCTTCGAGTTCCTTGTAGATACTTACAAGTTTCTCTCTTAAATAAAAAGTACAAATAAAATTATACGTGAAGATTATAATACAAATTATTTTTAAAAGATTATCCAATTTAAATTCAACAGGAATTTTACGGTCTAAAATTTAAAATTTAAATTAAAAAAGTATTATTGAAAACGAACGTGAATTTAATGAACCTTTAACCGTCGCTAAAGGATAAACCGTAATTCCGACGACGTTGTAAATGCACAAACAAATATATAAATATTGTCGTGCAATAAACGTTTTATCTTCATACTTCGGCGGCCAAATTGCCAGAAGGCGAAGGACGTATTGCGTTTGTGGCATATAACGCATACTGACGATTATAACTGTGCAAATTTCTTGAGTTGGTGGTTTATAAAGTGTCCTTATCGAAGAGATAATTAAAGACGTCTTTGTTGAAGTTATCGATAAAATTATAGGACGGTTTTTATTTAATATTAGATCAAACATTTTCTTTTCAATTCAACGAAATACGAATTAATTTCTTTTCTGTTTATGTTCCAAATGTAATTTTTCATTAAAATAAACATCGTGTATTTATAAGAATAGTGTAATAAGATTGAATTTTATACTTTATCTAAGATCTCTGAATTATAAAGTTCAAGAATTCACGAAGAATCACTTGACTAAGCAACATTTTATCGTTTTTAGAGATTTTCATGCTGTCTGGTAGGCAAAGGTGTGATTTATCTTAGAAATAATGCAGAATACCAAAAAACCTAAAATACCATTTGTTTTAAAGGAAAAAGCTAAGCGCCAATCAAATTATACGGTTTCAAATCCGATTTGCATCATACTTTTAAGAACCGACTTAGATACACCAAGAAATTCTACAATAGAAAGAATAAAATTGATGAACCTACAATTTCTGACCAGTGTCGTTTTTTAGATGTTAGTAAAAAATTAAAAGTTTATGTCTTATTTTATACAGAATTTAAGTCTAACTAGTTTCGGCCAATGGCCATCTCCGGGTTTAGCTAGTTAGCATAAGATATTACTATGTTGTATAATTTTATTAAACTAAAACTAGAAACATTCGGGTTTAGTTGTGAAAAAAAACTTTCAGTTGTCAATGTCAACTTTAATTTTATTATTATATTTGTCAACTTCATGAAAAATCCTTTAAAATGAGTCCAAACTCGATATATTTAACTTTAATACTAATGAAGATACAATCACTTCCGGTTTGAAACGTCAACGTCAATTTTGACATTTGTCATCTTCATTAAAAAACCTTTAAAATGAGTCCAAAGATGACGCACTTATCTCAAAAAACAAAAAAGTTAGAACAAAAAACATTAAACGCGAAGTTAGCAACAATGAAGATAGCAATTTAATTTTTAATACTACTTTAAATACTTTTATATTATATTTTTAATATATATTATAATATACTTTTAGATATATATATTATAAATACTCGAATATAGCGTTCCATTTAAAATAACGAAGTTATGGTCTACTTCCGGTGGATCGGAAGTGGCGGCCATCTTGAAAATGAACAACCTATGTTACCAAAATTTCAAATCTCTACGAATAGTGGAACCTGAAAAAGTTTTAACGAAACAGTTACTTGAGACACCTGTATATATACAGGTGTCCCGTATCTTCCGCTTTATACGGCTGTAGGATACATTATTCTGAAGCGATTTTTCTAATAAAATTTTTTCGAAATGTTTATAATAACCACATGGGAACTGCTTAAAAATGTCCAATAACGTTCACGGAAAAAGTTTATTTCTCTTTCCGTGTCGAATCTATTGGTGAGTACACGTGAGAATCTTGTTATGATCGGCACTGATTTACGTTCTGTTATTGGACGTCGTTAAATGGTTTGAAAAAAAATTATTAGAAAAATCGCTTCAGAATAACGCTGTATATAGATTTTTAATGAATAAAAAATAATTATAAGTATGTCAAAATTGATGTCATATATGAGGTTCATTGTATTCTTTATTAAAAAACCTTTAAAATGAGTCCAAACATGACGCACTTATCTCAAAAAACAAAAAAGTTAAAATAAAAACCATTAAACCCGAAGTTAGCAACAATAAAGTTGACAATTTAATTTTTATATATTAATGCCAACCTTAATTTTTGATTTTTTGTATTATATTTTCGTTCTTGTGACAAATTTGAACATATTTTATAAAAATTAAGAATATATCAAAATGACATTGACATTTCAAACCGGAAGTTGCTTATATCTCGAGTAATATTGGAATTAAACGTATCATGTTTCGACTCATTTTAAAGGATTTTTCACGTCGATTACAAATATGTCAAAATTGACGTTGACATTCCTAACCGGAAGTTGACCATAACTTCGTTAATATTGAAGATAAATATGTCGTGTTTGTACTCATTTTAAAGGATTTTTGATGAAGATTACAAATATATCAAAATTGAGGTTGACATTTTAAACGTGAAGTTAATTATCATATAATAGACAACTTCATGGTGTATTGTTTATTAAAAAACTTTTAAAATGAGTCCAAACATGACGCATTTAACTCAAAAAACAAAAAAGTTAAAATAAAAAACGTTTAACCCGAAGTTAGCAACAATGAAGATAGCAATTTAATTTTTAAATATTAATACCAACCTTAATTTTTGATATTTTTTTATTATATTTTCGTTTGTGACAAATTTTAACACATTTTTTAAAAATTAAGAATTTATCAAAATGACATTGACATTTCAAACCGGAAGTAGCTTATACCTTGGATAATATTAGAATTAAACGTATCATGTTTGGACTCATTTTAACGGATTTTTCACGACGATTACAAATATGTCAAAATTTTAACATATTTGTCATCTTCATTAAAAAAACTTTGAAATGAGTCCAAACATGACGTACTTATCTCAAAAAAGAAAAAAGTTACAATAAAAAACGTTAAACCCGAAGTTAGCAACAATGAAGATAGCAATTTAATTTTTAAATATTAATACCAACCTTAATTTTTGATTTTTTGTATTATATTTTCGTTTTTGTGACAAATTTTAACATATTTTATAAAAATTAAGAATATATCAAAATGACATTGACATTTCAAACCGGAAGTTGCTTATATCTTGGGTAATATTAGAATTAAACGTATCTCATTTTAACCGATTTTTCACGACGATTACAAATATGTCAAAATTGACGTTGACATTCTTAACCGGAAGTTGACCACAACTTCGTTAATATTGAAGATAAATATGTCGTGTTTGTACTCATTTTAAAGGATTTTTAATGGAGATTACAAATATGTCAAAATTGAGGTTGATATTTTAAACCTGAAGTTAGTTATATCATGTAATAGAAGTTTTATAACTGAAGTTAATCTAGTGTTAGTCACTTTTCCGCACTTTTTTTTATTTTTAACGTGTTTTTTTGGGTCATTCCTCATTGATTAAAAAAAAATCATCGATTTTCAAGCCACATGATGATTCTTGAATTTTTGCCAAGTTTCTTAAGGTGTCTTTTGTTAAAAAAGTTCGTCTTTAATTTCATTTTACAACTTTTTAAACTTTAATTTTGTAAATTAGTAACTAATAATCTGATTTCAACTTTGATATGTCATCTTTTTTAACAAAACAAAAAGAGATATTAAGAAACTTGTTTGTAAAATGGATAAGATGAGAGATGTTAATCTATTTGTAGAGTCTCTGAAACTGGTTAGACTTAAATTCTATATAAAATAAAAACCAGTTTAAAAGTACAAAACTAAACTCTAGATTATTTTCTTTAATAATTTTTACACGAATCGTTATCATTTTGTCTCTACTTTTAGTGATTAAATTTATGCCACGACCTACAGAAACACCCTGTATAATCGTAAAACGTAATGAGTGACCAAGCGGCCTCTCTGCTTGTGATAGCTGTCAAAATAAACAATTTTTAACAGTTTGAGCCTGTCTGTTCTGAGAAGTCTTATATTTTTAGAGAGATGAAAACGAAAATCTAGAAATTTGTCGCTCAGTCAGGTGATGCATAACGCGGTCCAATTGTAAGATCATTCGGACAGATTATGAGCTATATTCATAATCATTCTGAAAAAACTCATATCGAAATATCTCTATCAACAAATAATGCACTACTTTTTTTTATATAAACAATGACAGTTAAAGAAATTTATTTGTTGTCATTAACGTCACCACTTTTAGGGGTTACCATGTCAACAAGTTACACTTAACCTAAAATTTTTAATCTTATTTATCAAAATTTTACAAAATATTTCCAAGAAACCACAACAACCTACATATTTTAACGATTTATTTTTACATAAATCGACTCAATTTTATTTATAGATCCGCAACTCAAAAAATATTAAAATAACTCAACACATGAATAAATTAATCAAAAATAACTCGCCCATTGTCTCGAATCCTACTGGTTTTCCTTAATCACCTTTATAAATGACGTCATTTCGAAACGTTCATAAAAAGAAAACGTAAACTTTTTATACACCCGTTTTTATTATTAATTAAAACCGCGTCATTTGGTAGAATTAATTCAATTTTAGTCAGAAAACGGAAAAATCCCCTTTTGACGTCACAAAAAACATTTTGTTCTTAATGGAATAATTTCCATATTTTAAACTTTCAATCAATATAAAGCTATAAATTAACAACAATAATTATTTCAATTCCAGCTTTAGTGACATCTCGTAGCAATGGCCGAACTTCGTTGGTTGGTACCGCTATTTTTGGCGATTTCGTCAATTTTAGCAATCGTCGCCAATTCTTTATTACTTTTAGTATTTTTTAAACGAAGAGGATTACGTACCGTTTCAAATAGGTAATTTATTTATATTTATAAATTTAAAAAAAAAATTATTTAATAAAAGCGCCATCTTTTGACAGTTTTAATAACCTAATTAATCAAAATATTAACATAACCTAATTTTTTTTTAAATTTTCTTATTTTTAGATTTGTAGTTAATCTGTTGGTGACGAATGTATTATCTGGAATCGTTTTAATACCGTTATTAATAATAAATGAGACCGTTTTGGATAAAGAAGATAATATAAAAGATGTGAAAACGTTATCGAGGAATCTAAGTGAAGTTGTGGTTAAAAATGAAGTGATAATTCGGACTAAACTGATCGAAAACGAAGAATTTATCGAAATCAGTATTTTAAACAACAACGAAAATAATTGTTTTTGTTATTTCTCGCAAATCGTAACAAACTTGGTTTGCGTCGCATCAATTTTAGGGATTTTATTGATCGCTTTCGATCAATATTTCGCCGTAATCCATCCTTTAAGGTATCACACTTTTATAAATAAATCGAAAAGCTTAATTTTATTAATAACAACGTGGATTTTTTCAATTTTAATTTCGTTATTAAATTTAAGCGTTTTTGAGGTTAGTTTTTGGAGCTGTCAAAGTGACGTGTCAAAAAGTGACGTTTTAGGAGATGAGGTTATTTTTGCGTATTTTTATTTCGTATTGATTTTTTTGGTGCCCTTTTTAATTATTTGTTCCGTTTATTTTAAAATTTATTTCGCAGCGCACCAAAATAGCGAAAGGATGCGAAAAAGCTTATCAAATAACCAATTAATCATTAAAAATCACGTTAAATCGAACGATTTAAAACCAAACGACGAAAAATCTCTCCCTAGGGTTCACTCAGCACCTAATATACCAAATTTAAGCATAAAAGAAACTAAAATAACTCGTTCAATAAGCGATAGGGCTACTAGTAATAACATTATTGTTACTATAAAATCGAAATTATCGAATGCTTCGGTTTTTAAGTATAGGGAAGAATCGCGGACTGCTAAAATCTCGATTTTGGTGATTTTTATGGTTCTAATCTGTTATTTTCCTTATGGAGTTTCGATTATTTTGAATGTTTATTTAAAAAGTAACCCCCCGATTAATTTTAATTTAATTTCAATCGTTTTATTGATTATTTCTAATTTGATTTCGCCCTTTTTGTTCGCTTACCGTAGTAAAAGGGTGCAAAGGGAGTTGGTTAAAACATTTTTGGGACGAAATCGGGTGATCAAAAAAGAATTTGAGCCATTTATTAAACCAAAAAGAGAGAATTTATTGGAAAATAAGTCTGTGATACCTAAAGTGGTGGTTACTTGTAGTAAAAATAATAAAAATGAGAATGATAGGAGGGGATCGGGGAAGAATTGGGGGGGTTTTAAAAAAAAATGTAATTTTATTTCCGTCCCTGATAGTTGTTTGGAGGCGAGGTCTTCGTTTTCGAGTGCTAGCACGCAAATTTCTAGTGTTGAAGAATAAGACTGATTTAAAAAAAGAAAAAAAATGAGGGGAATAAAGCGAAAATAAATTATTGTATGAATTTAATTAATTATTAGAGTACTTAAAAGTAATTTTATATTAAAAAAATAAATAAGGCGAGAAAATGTAGATCATATTGATTAAAAAAATCTTTTCTACAAAAATTGTATTACTTTGTTGTAAATAAATCTTGATTTGTATTTTTTTAAGTCTGTTTAATCCCAATTTATTATTATTAATACCATTTTGTTCTTCCAATCCAAATTTTATTTATTATTAATAATTTAACACCTCGTTGGAGTACTAAAACAAAAAAAAATTAATAAATACTTTAATTTAAGTAAAAAAAACCCACTGTTGCGGGGGCAGTGTGTTAGGCAACTTAATGTGCAATATGTATAATATAGTAGCCAATAAAGAAGTGTCAAGTGGAAAAAAAGAACCGGAACTTGAAAAAACTTGGAAATGAGTTGTCTATTATATGATAACTAACTCCAGGTTTAACCCTTTCGTTACTAAGAGCGTACGCATACGTTTTTGTATATATGGGTTTGCTATATGATCTTGAAAATACTCCGTAACGAAAGGGTTAAAATGTCAACCTCAATTTTGACATATTTGTAATCTTCATTAAAAATCCTTTAAAATGAGTACAAACACGACATATTTATCTTCAATATTAATGAAGTTATGGTCAACTTCCGGTTAGGAACGTCAACGTCAATTTTGACATATTTGTAATCGTCGTGAAAAATCCGTTAAAATGAGACCAAACATGATACGTTTAATTCTAATATTACCCAAGATATAAGCAACTTCCGGTTTGAAATGTCAATGTCATTTTGATATATTCTTAATTTTAATAAAATGTGTTAAAATATGCCACAAAAACAAAAATGTAATAAAAAAAATCAAAATTAAGGTTGGTATTAATATTTAAAAATTAAATTGCTTTCTTTATTGTTGCCAACTTCGGGTTTAATGATTTTTATTCTAACTTTTTTGTTTTTTGAGATCAGTACGCCATGTTTGGACTCATTTTAAACGTTATTTTATAAAGATTACGAATATAATAATAATATTAAATTTTTAAATAGAAACAGATTACACTTTTGGGAAAATTTACCATTGATAATAAATAATAACACTTTGAATATTGATTATGATGATACTTTTTGCATTACTTATGTTTCTTTTACTAGTAAAAAAATATGTTTTTGGTTTTTTGGTAGTAAATAAAGAAGTGTTATTCAATGGAACAACACACCCACCTTGTTTCAACACCAGAAAACAAAACATGCGATCTTGAGCTAACGAAATACACAAAAATGAATGACAAAGCCATAACCATAGCCCCAATCGCAAAGGTCATCTTTTCATGGGATGGAGATGGTCTCAAAAACATCCGTACGCTTAATTCTCGCCACACAGATTCCGTCCAAGAACTATATTCGTTTGATGACCAATCGTAATCTAAAAATCAAATGTGTTATCATTGCAAGTATGCAACCAATATCACAGTATAATACGCATCGTACGCAAATCGCGTATTGTAATAAAAACATTGTGAAATTGGTTGCATACTTGCAATGATGACGTCGGGTACGACAATTAATTAACACACTGTATATTATTGTAGGAGCATATAATGAGGGCTATTATTCACTAAGGTTAAGTTTATGTCACGAGCGTATCATAATTGATCTGAGTGAATAATAGCTCATTAGATGTGAGTTAGAATACTATACTTTGTCCACGACTACTATTGAAATTGATTCCATAAATTTATTTTTTTAAATAAATTTTTGAAAAATGTAATGTGACACAAATTCAATGTTACCAACTTCACAACAATTTGTCAAAATTAAATGTCAATTTTATAAAACGTCATGTTTTTTACAAAAATTAATTAATTTATGCTTAAATGATAAAAAAGGAATTTGTTTACGTTTTTTAATATCAAACCTTTAGAAAGTCTTAAAAAATTAAATTAAATTGAAATTTTGACGTTTCAAATAATTATTATTAGTCTAAAAATGACTACCCTTTTGTTTTAGAAAACTCATTTATAAGGTATATACATATTATAAGGTAGTCGTGGTCAAAGATATTTATTCCATCAATCAGTATGACCAACACAAGTTGAGAAAAATAGAAATTTTGACGTTTTCAACAATTATCTTGTATAACTCAATAGTTATAATCGATGGAAAAAAATATTTTATACAAAAAGGTTTAGAATTAATCCATAAAACATATCCAATGAGTTATTTTAATCCACTGGTCAGTAGTACCAACCTAACTCAAAAATGAAACTAAATTTTGGGGTTTTTGACAATTTTCGGTTATAACTTATTAATTACGAATGATGGAGAATTATTTTTTAGACAAAAAAACGTTTAGAATTAACTCATGAGACGCATTGAATACAGATATTTACTCCATCAATCAGTATTACCAACTCAACTTAAGAAAAATAGAAATTTTGACGTTTTCAACAATTTTCTTTCATAATTTAATAATTATAACTGATGGAAAAAAATGTTTCGTACAACGAATGTTTAGAATTAATCCATAAAACATATCCAATAAGTTATTTTAAGCCACCAATGAGTAGTACCAACATAACTCAAAAATAAAGCTACATTTTGGGGTTTTTGTCAATTTTCGGTTATAACTTATTAATTATGAATGATGGAGAATTACTTTTTAGACAAAAAACGTTTATAATTAACTCATAAGACGTATTGAATACAGATATTTACCCCACCTATAAGAATTACCAACCCAACTTAAGAAATATAGAAATTTTGACGTTTTCAACAATTTTCTTTCATAATTTAATAATTATAACTGATGGAAAAAAATGTTTCGTATAACAAATGTTTAGAATTAACCCATAAACCATATCCAATAAGTTATTTTAATCCACCAATTAGTAGTACCAACTTAACTCAAAAATAAAACTAAATTTTGGGGTTTTTGACAATTTTCGGTTATAACTTATTAATTATGAATGATGAGGATTACTTTTTAAACAAAAAACGTTTGAAATTAACTCATGAGACGTTTTGAATACAGATATTTACCCCATTAATCAGAATTACCAACCCAACTTAAGAAAAATAAAAATTTTGACGTTTTCAACAATTTTCTTTCATAACTTAATAATTATAACTGATGGAAAAAAATGTTTCGTACAACAAATGTTTCGAATTAATCCATAAAACATATCCAATAAGTTATTTTAATCCATCAATCAGTAGTACCAACCTAACTCAAAAATAAAACAAAATTTTGGGGTTTTTGTCATTTTTCGGTTGTAACTTATTAATTTTGAATGATGCAGAATTACTTTTTAGACAATAAACGTTTAGAATTAACCCATAAAACATATCCGATAAGTTATTTTAATCCACCAATCAGTAGTACCAACCCAACTCTAAAATAAAACAAAATTTTGGGGTTTTTGTCATTTTTCGGTTATAACTTATTAATTTTGTATGATGGTGAATTACTTTTCAGACAAAAAACGTTTAGAATTAACTAATGAGACGTATTGAATACAGATATTTACTCCATCAATCAGTATTGCCAACCCAACTTAAAAAAATTTAAATTTTGACGTTTTCAACAATTTTCTTTTATAACTTTATAATTATAACTGATGGAAAAAAATGTTTTGTACAACAAATGTTTAGAATTAACCCATAAAACATATCCAATAAATTATTTTAATCCACCAATCAGTAGTACCAACTCAATTCAAAAATAAAACTAAATTTTGGGGTTTTTGTCAATTTTCGGTTATAACTTATTAATTATGAATGATGGAGAATTACTTTTTAGACAAAAAACGTTTAGAATTAACTCATGAGACGTATTGAATACAAATATTTATTTCATCAATCAGTATTACCAACCCAACTTAAAAAAATAGAAATTTTGACGTTTTCAACAATTTTCTTTTATAACTTAATAATTATAACTGATAGAAAAAAATGTTTTGTACAACAAATGTTTAGAATTAACCCATAAAACATATCTAATAAGTTATTTTAATCCACCAATCAGTAGTACCAACCTAACTCGAAAATAAAACCAAATTTTGAGGTTTTTGACAGTTTTCGGTTATAACTTGTTAATTATGACTGATGGAGGATTACTTTTTAGACAAAAAACGTTTAGAATTAACTCATAAGACGTATTGAATACAGATATTTACCCCATCAATCAGAGTTACCAACCCAACTTAAGAAAAATAGAAATTTTGATGTTTTCAACAATTTTCTTTTATATCTTAATAATTATAACTGATAGAAAAAAATTTTTTGTACAATAAATGTTTAGAATTAACCCATAAAATATATCCAATAAATTATTTTAATCCACCAATCAGTAGTACCAACCCAACTCAAAAATAAAACTAAATTTTGGGGTTTTTGTCATTTTTCGGTTATAACTTATTAATTATGAATGATGGAGAATTACTTTTTAAACAAAAAACTATTATTTATAATAAAATTAACTTACCTTTAATAATAAAAGCCGGACTAACAGCTTCCGTTAAATTCATACAACTCCTATAACAAATCGTAGTATTCAATTCATCCCAACTCTTCGACATATTATAATATTTAAACAAATACGAATTCATTTTCCCCGGGCAAGGCCCCGAATCATCATAAATATCCCCGGTTAACCACGACAAAGTCAACCCAGCGTAAGCCACCAAAATCGATCTCGAAACTGTAACCCCCACGTACAAATTCAATTGGGTATCTCTTAATCGTTTCTTCGCCACGGCATTGTGTATTTTGCAGGTTGCATTTTTTAGGTAACAATTAAATAATTCGTTGGTTAATTCAACATTGAGAGATGACTCAGAAGCTGGATTTCCGGTAATTTCTTCGTACAAACTATTCACGACCACCCTTCCTAACCTCGCTGTATAATATTGAATCGATTCTTTCGGAATCTCCTCAAAATTCTCGTAATACTCGTATTTTAAATTATTTGAGTCATCCAATATCGAATTGTAGAAATGATTCGAATATGATTCGTTATGATCGGAAATTACAATCCCTGTAATATTCGATTTCAAAAAACTTTGCAAACTCGACGGGGGTAAATTCCCAAATGATTCTTTAACGTTGAGGTTAGCTTTATATTTTTGTAATTTTTTTAAAAAATCGATTTTTTGATTCAAATGGACGTAAAATTCATTCTTGATATTCCCCAATTGGTTCAATTCCAATACAAAATCGATATCATCGGGGGTTAAATTTTTAATCGTTTCATTTTCGTTGGAAAAATCACCACTGGGAAATAACCCCGCGTTTAAATCGTACACAAATCGTTGCGATCCGATGTAATCGTAACTTTCACCACTTAATAATAAGAAAATCACGTTTTTTTTGTAATCTTTAAAATCGGCTAACATTTTTTTTAATTCCCCCCCGATGTACATTAAAGTTACGAATGAAGATATCGGGTTAATCGCCCCTTTTTCTTGGTCGGCGAATAACGATGTTGTATCTAATCTAGCTGTAACGATGATATTTTTAACCCCATCGGGGTATTTTATATCTGATGTATTTCCCAATGGGTATAAAGAAGCCCAAACATTACTCGAACCCAAAGGATCACACAATTTCACCGTATTTAAATTAAAAAATGGTGAAGATCTTCTTAAACACGTTGGAGTGTTAATTGCAGCAAACATAAACGATGATAACTCAACGGAACATAACGCACGCGCATGATGCGTCTCAATCGAAACATTATTAAATTTAAAAAAGCATTTTTTTAAATTCCCTAATTCGGTGTTATTTGTAACTAAAAAAATGGGAAAATTAAAGTTTTCGTTTAAAATATTAGTCCCATAACGATTCCAATTAACTTCGCAAGTTTTTTCTTGATTAAAATTTCGATTAGGGCATTTATCTTCGTGAGAATAGTGTTGTATAATCGTTTGATTATCTTTAAACAACAACAACCCCGAAATTTTAGGCGAATTTTTTAATAAAGCACCTCCTTCTTCATTTAACACATCAATCGGCATTAAGGGAATATAAGATTGTCCCGATCCGTGGTTCAACAACGTTTTTAAATCGGTTAATTCTTCGATTAAGTAAACAATTCCCGTTGAACCTTCCCGATCGGCTTAATTAAAATAAAACATTAATTATAAATAAAAAAAAAATATATATTTAGGGTATTTACATGAACATCCCGTTTGATGAGTTGCGTTCATTCGGCGGAAACAAGCCGCAGCTCCTTTTATGTCATCGTAAATTCGATCTTTGGTTCTATCAGCGGTGACTAAAATGAAATAAAAATCGTTTTTAGACTAAAAATAATTTTAATTGGGCGTGTTTTCGACCAATTTGCACAAAAAAAATAACACTTATTAAGAAATTTTGGCATATTTGTCATCTTCATAAAAAATCCTTTAAAATGAGTCCAAACTCGACATATTTAACTTTAATATTAATGAAGATACAATCACTTCCGGTTTGAAACGTCAATGTCAATTTTGACATATTTGTCATCTCCATTAAAAAACCTTTAAAATGAGTCCAAACATGACGCACTTATCTCAAAAAACAAAAAAGTTAGAATAAAAAACGTTAAACCCGAAGTTGGCAACAATGAAGATAGCAATTTAATTTTTAAATATTAATACCAACCTTAATTTTTAAATTTTTTTATTACATTTTTGTTTTTGTGACAAATTTTAACACATTTTATAAAAATTAAAAATATATCAAAATGACATTGACATTTCAAACCGGAAGTTGCTTATATCTCGAGTAATATTGGAATTAAACGTATCATGTTTGGACTCATTTTAAAGGATTTTTCACGACGATTACAAATATGTCAAAATTGAGGTTGACATTTTTAACCGGAAGTTGACCATAACTTCATTAATATTGAAGATAAATATGTCGTGTTTGTACTCATTTTAAAGGATTTTTCACGACGATTACAAATATGTCAAAATTGAGGTTGACATTTCTAACCGGAAGTTGACCATAACTTCATTAATATTGAAGATAAATATGTCGTGTTTGTACTCATTTTAAAGGATTTTTAATGAAGATTACAAATACGTCAAAATTGAGGTTGACATTTTAAACCTGAAGTTAGTTATCATATAATAGACAAATTGATAACTTCATGGTGTTCTTTCATGATGTATTCTTTGTTAAAAAAACTTCTTCTCTAAAAAAGACTTCTCTTGTATTTTATTAATAATTGTTTAGTTGATTTTTAGTGCTAGAAGAGGAGCAAGTTCCCCATTAGCATTAAAAATTATTAATACAATGATGTTGTCTTTTTCATTGCCTTGTTGAATAGTGTATAAGTTTTTGAAACATTTTGGACTTAAGACTTTGCCAGTTTTTGGGCATAAGAAAAGCCAGATTTATCTCCATTAAACATACATGGATCTTCAAAGAGATCCATTAAATTATTATCTGCTAAAACTTGTTGCAATTCTGCAAAACATTTTTTTATGGATTGCTCAGTGATAATGGCTATAACTTTATTGATGCCCTCCACTTATATTAGAGATATTTCTGGGTTTCTCTTAAGACAATTTAAATATCATTTGTGTTTTGGTGTACATTGCAACATTTCTTTCTTTATTGGAAATCCACATTTAGTAAGATTATTGACATTAAACAGTTCTAAGACATTAAAATTTGTACTAATTTGTTGTAATGTGGTTCTCAAGTCATATTCTGTNATAAATTGATAGGTATGTACCTATAAATTAATTAAAATTGTAAATAATTGTCATTAAAGCGCCATCTGTTGTTATCAAACCATATGTCTATAGAAAAATTGGACGTTCACCAAATCACCAACGCAATCGTAACCCGTTTACGTTGGCAAACGCCTGGTGTCTGGTGAACGCGCCCAGTGATGTTGTCTTTTTCATTGCCTTGTTGAATAGTGTATAAGTTTTCCATTAAACATACAACATGGATCTTCAAAGAGATCCACTAGATTATTATTTGCTAGAAATTGTTGCAATTCTGCAAACCATTTTTTTATTGATTGCTCAGTGACAATGGCTCAAGCTTTATTTGATGCCCTCCACTTGTCTCAGAGATATTTTTATTGGAAATCCACATTTAGTAAGATTAATGACATTAAAATTTGTACTAATTTGTTGTAATGTGGTTTCCAAGTCATATTCTGTGTATTTGAACATATTCCTTGTTTTATATTTGTTTATAGGCCTCATTATTATTGTAGTTTGTTCTTTTTTTGTTCCTTTTTGTATTTTGGTGGTCACCACTAAACATAAGACACTCTTTAGTACTTTAATTTTTACAAATTAAGTAGCAAAATGAAAGAAAGTTCTCCTTGTTCATCATTTATTATTTTGATGGCCTAAAACCGGAAATAAACAACATCAGAACTCCATCACATATAATTTTAGTACCAGATAATCTTAAAATCGCTATTTTTGGTCTATTTTCTATCACAAATACCATAAACAATACCTACTTTTTAAGTTAAAACTTACATAATGCACCTAAGGATATAAAAACAAAGAATACTTAGCACTTAGCACTTTTGGTCAACCAACAAGTTTGTGAGGTTATGAGCCCCACGCCCTTGAAAGGACAAACAACTGATTCTAGTGATAATTAAAACGTCTTCCCACCAATTTACTATATATTTTAGGGTAAGAAAACGCCTTAGGAACTGTTTTAACATTATTTTAGAAAATGTTCCGTTTTAATTAGCTATTTTATGGTCTTAATTAAATAAAACAGTGGTCGATAACTTTCTATAGACACACAACAGGCACACTTACCCTATATTTAACATAAAAATACTCACCGTTTTGTAATAAAAGTGTTAAAAACACCAAGAAAAACATTAATTTACTCTGAATCATCGTTCTTTCTTATCTTGACATTTTAGGTTAGATTTACGTCAAAATTTGGTTTAGCCAACTTCACGGCATAAAAAAAAATTAATTCACCAGATTATAACCTAACTTTTAAAGTTGAACAACTGTCAGTTTTTTATTGTGTCTTCGGGTTAAATTGTGCAATTTTTGCGTAATAATAGTTTTTGTGACTAAAAAATCGATTCGGGGGGGCTTCTATTTCAATGGTTAAAAGAGTCATGTCGCGATTTCGCGACTCTTTGTTATGATTTATGACTCAAATGTAAACTTTCAACTTTAACAACAAAGTTTTTTTTTTTATAATCAATTTTTGATGAAGGTTTATTTGGAAATTATTTAGTGTGCCAAAGAAATGGAGTTAAACGTTTTAAAATTTGTGCCAAAAGGTTAAAAAAGGTTGTGTTTTTATACTTTTTTTTTAATAAATTAATTTTGTTGCAGATGGTGTTAAAAAAACCATCGAAGATTATGAATCGTACAAGAATTTATTGCATAAAATCGATGGGACCATCGTTAGTGTACCTGAGGATTTATCTCACATGACCATAACAGCTTTAGAAGGGAATTCGGAAATAATATGGTGAGTGAATTGAACTTAAATCGGGTTTTATTTAATCTACTTATCGAATCAAGGAAAGTATTTGTTATCCAATTGACATTTTTTGCTGGATTATAATCTTTATTGATCCAACAAATTTTTTCCTGTCTGTTTTATTAACAAACCATAAAAGGTTGAATGAAAAAAGCATATTTATATGGAGATAACAATATTTTAATTTGAAAAATCATAAATTCTAAGCAATTTGATATTGCATGACCTATTTATTTAAAAAATTAAGGATCGGAAATTAAAAATTGAAGATACTTTTGTGTTTTTTAACATAAATAGGTCGAATTTGAAGTTATTTCATTTTTACAACTTTAAACGCAAGCAATAATTGTTATCTTTACTAAATTTCGTGTATTTATTGCAAATCAATTTAAAATTAAATTATTTTTTCTTTAAATATTTAACGTAGCGCCCTCTATTAGCGATTCGAAAAAATAAAATTGCAGTTTCCTATAATTTGAACAACATTAAAAAAAATTAAGTGTAATAATTTAAATCCCTGTTATTGTTGAGTTTTTTAATAATGAAATTAGTCATTTTCATAACTAATATAATATACTAATATCCAGGAATGTCAATAATGACAATTAAATTTTAAAATAAAATGAGTTTCTGGTGATTTTTTGTTTAACCAACAATGTCACTTTGACATTTGGGGAATTTTGCGTCAAATAATATTTGTACCTAATTTTCATAAAAATCATTTTTTAATTTTCAACAATTTTTTGATTCATTTTAATTCATTATTATCGAATTATCAATTCTTATTTTTTTTATTAAGCAAAATTTAAGAATGTTTAAATCTATTTATGTAATTCGCCCATAGATGGCGGTCCAAAACAATTTTAATTTTTTAAAAAAACTTTTACAAATTTAACAAATTTATTTTTGCAATAACTAAGGGTTGTTGGGTATCAAATTGCGCCATATTTTATTCTTATTCCAATTTTAAGGCAATTTTATAATAAAAAAATTTTTTTTTTAATAAATAAATTTGTCTAATCGACGAGAAATTTAAAGACGATTCATTTAACTCCAAACATGACGCGTTTTGGATAAAAACTCAGCGAAATATTGATAAAAATAAAAAACAAGATGGCGGATTTTGACATTTTGAGGTTATAAACAATTTTTTTGGTCTAAAATATGGGTTGTTGGGTATCAAATTGCGCCATTTTTTATTCTTATTCCAATTTTAAGGCAATTTTATAATAAAAAAATTTTTTTTTTAATAATTAAATATTTCTAATCGATGAGAAATTTAAAAACGATTCATTTAACTCCAAACATGACGCGTTTCCGATAAAAACTCAGCGACATATTGATAAAAATAAAAAACAAGATGGCGGATTTCGACATTTTGAGGTTATAAACAATTTTTTTGTCTAAAATATAGGTTGTTGGGTATCAAATTGCCCCATTTTTTATTCTTATTCCAATTTTAAGACAATTTTATAATTAAAAAAAATTTTTTTTAATAAATAAGTATTTCTAATCGATGAGAAATTTATAAACGATTCATTTAACTCCAAACATGACGCGTTTCCGATAAAAACTCAGCGAGATATTGATAAAAATAAAAAACAAGATGGCGGATTTTGACATTTTGAGGTTATAAACAATTTTTTTGGTCTAAAATATGGGTTGTTGGGTATCAAATTGCGCCATTTTTTATTCTTATTCCAATTTTGAGACAATTTTATAATAAAAAACATTTTTTTTTAAATAAATAAATTTTTCTAATCGATAGGAAATTTAAAAGCGATTCATTTAAGTCCAAACACGACGCGTTTCCGATAAAAACTCAGCGACATATTGATAAAAATAAAAAACAAGATGGCGGATTTTGATGTTTTGAGGTTATAAACTTTTTTTTTTGTCTAAAATATGGGTTGTTGGGTATCAAATTGCCCCATTTTTTATTCTTATTCCAATTTTAAGGCAATTTTATAATAAAAAAATTTTTTTTAATAAATAAGTATTTCTAATCGATGAGAAATTTATAAATGATTCATTTAACTCCAAACATGACGCGTTTCCGATAAAAATTCAGCGAGATATCGATAAAAATAAAAAACAAGATGGCGGATTTTGACATTTTGAGGTTATAAACAATTTTTTTGCCTAAAATATGGGTTGTTGGGTATCAAATTTCATCATTTTAAATTCTTATCTCAATTTTTAAGTTATAAATGTTATATTTGATTCGAAATCGACGTTTTCTTGTAGAAAATTAAAAATCTTTTGTAACGAGTACAAACTCGATACATTTATCTTTAAAAATACGCGAGATGTGGGCTACTTCCGGTTTGAAATGTCAAATTTAATTTTTAAATATTCTTGATTTTCATTCAAAATCCGTTAAAATGAGTCGAAACATGGGTTATCTCAAAAAATAGCCGAAATATCATTATTTTTGTATGTTCCTAACTTCACATCGAATTTGACGTTTCTTAATTTTTTGTTGTATCTCGGTGATTTTTTGAGATAACCCCATCGTGTTTGGACTCGTTTTAAAGGATTTTTAATGAAGATTAAGAATCTTTAAAATTAATCCGTCATTATTAAATAAATTAAAAAAAAATAATAATTTTGATTTGAATCGACAACTTAACGTCATTTTGACATTTGGGAAATTTTGCGTCAAATAATATTTCTACCTAATTTTCATAAAAATCTTATTTATTTATTTATATTTTTTAATTTACAACGATTTTTTGATTCATTTTAATTCATTATTATCAAATTAATTTCAGCAAAATTTCAGATTGTAGTAATTCGCCCATAGATGGCGGACCAAAACAATTTTAATTTTGCAACATTTAAAACGATATCATTAAATTGTAAATGTTTACAAGAATAANGAGGTTATAAACAATTTTTTTGTCTAAAATATAGGTTGTTGGGTATCAAATTGCCCCATTTTTTATTCTTATTCCAATTTTAAGACAATTTTATAATTAAAAAAATTTTTTTTTAATAAATAAGTATTTCTAATCGATGAGAAATTTAAAAACGATTCATTTAACTCCAAACATGACGCGTTTCCGATAAAAACTCAGCGAGGTATTGATAAAAATAAAAAACAAGATGGCGGATTTTGACATTTTGAGGTTATAAACAATTTTTTTTTGTCTAAAATATGGGTTGTTGGGTATCAAATTGCGCCATTTTTTATTCTTATTCCAATTTTAAGACAATTTTATAATAAAAAAATTTTTTTTTATAAATATATTTTTCTAATCGATGCGGAATTTAAAAACGATTCATTTAGCTCTAAATACGACGCGTTTCCAATAAAAACTCAGTGAGATATTGATAAAAATAAAAAACAAGATGGCGGATTTCGACATTTTGAGGTTATAAACAATTTTTTTGTCTAAAATATGGGTTGTTGGGTATCAAATTGCGCCATTTTTTATTCTTATTCCAATTTTAAGGCAATTTTATATAAAAAAAATTTTTTTTTAAAAAACAAATTTTTTTAATCGATGCGAAATTTAAAAACGATTCATTTAACTCCAAACATGACGCGTTTGACATTTTGGGGTTATAAACAATTTTTTTTGTCTAAAATATGGGTTGTTGGGTATCAAATTTCGTCATTTTAAATTCTTATCTCAATTTTTAAGTTATAAATGTTATATTTGATTCGTAATCGACGTTTTCTTGTAGAAAATTAAAAATGCTTTGAAACGAGTACAAACTCGATACATTTATCTTTAAAAATACGCGAGATGTGGGCTACTTCCGGTTTTAAATGTCAAATTTAATTTTTAAATATTCTTGATTTTCATTCAAAATCCGTTAAAATGAGTCGAAACACGGGTTATCTCAAAAAATAGCCGAAATATCATTATTTTTGTATGTTCCTAACTTCACATCGAATTTGACGTTTCTTAATTTTTTGTTGTATCTCGGTGATTTTTTGAGATAACCCCATCGTGTTTGGACTCGTTTTAAAGGATTTTTAATGAAGATTAAGAATCTTTAAAATTAATCCGTCATTATTAAATAAATTAAAAAAAAATAATAATTTTGATTTGAATCGACAACTTAACGTCATTTTGACATTTGGGAAATTTTGCGTCAAATAATATTTCTACCTAATTTTCATAAAAATCTTATTTATTTATTTATATTTTTTAATTTACAACGATTTTTTGATTCATTTTAATTCATTATTATCAAATTAATTTCAGCAAAATTTCAGATTGTAGTATTCGCCCATAGATGGCGGACCAAAACAATTTTAATTTTGCAACATTTAAAACGATATCATTAAATTGTAAATGTTTACAATAATAATTTATTAAATAATTAATAACCTTCACAATCTCTTTGTGTTAAAAATTGTAGTTATCTTTTGTGTTTTTTAAGACAAATAGGTCGAATTTGAAATGATTTCATTTTAACAATTTTAAACGCAAGCAATAATTATTATCTTTACTAAATTTCATTTTTTTATTTGGTAAGTGCATTTATTGCAAATCAATTTAAAATTAAATTATTTTTTCTTTAAATATTTAAGGTAGCGCCCTCTATTAGCGTTTCGAAAAAATAAAATTGCAGTTTCCTATAATTTGAACATTAAAAAAATTAAATCATTGTTATTGTTGAGTTGTTAATAATGAAATTATGTTTATCATAATTAAATTAGTCATTTTCAATATTGAAATGTCAATAATAGCAATTAAATTTAAAAATAAAATGAGTTTCTAGTGATTTTTTGTTTAACAAACCTAACGTCACTTTGACATTTGAGGAATTTTGCGTCAAATAATATTTGCGTCTAATTTTCATAAAAATCTTGTTTGTTTATTTTTATTATTTAACTTACAGCGATTTTTTGGTTCATTTTAATTCATTATTATCGAATTATCAATTTTTATTTTCGTTATTAATCAAAATTGTTTAAATCAATTTAAGTAATTCACCCATAGATGGCGGTCCCAAACAATTTTAATTTAAATTTTTTTAAAAAAGTTTAAAACAAATTTATTTTTGCACCGTTTAAAACGATATCATTAAATTGTAAATATTTACAATAATAATTTATTAAATAATTAATAACCTTCACAATCTCTTTGTGTAAAATACTTAACTTTTCACTCGAAAACTCACTTTCTCCCCGTTTCGCTTTAGATTGCTCTAAATTCCGTCCTCTGAAAGCGTAATGAAACGTTTACAATTTCAAGGCCGCGTTTCAACTCCCGGATTTGTTTGGTTATTACTTAAAAAGTTTCATTTGCGAGCGAGATAACTTCAAACCAAATTTACTTATTTATTTATAAACACTTTTTCTTTCAATCTAACATTTTTATTTCGCGCATTTCAATCGATTTCGAGTGGTTGTGTCAGTTTTGGTTGTAAAATGAAAAAGATCTACTTCAGATATGTCGCGTTTAAAATGATTTATTATTTTTCGTACGCCAAAGTTTTTTATTTAACTTTAAAATAAATTTAAAATAGGTGTTATTCGGTTGTTATCGTTTTAGTCGGAGGTTCGGTTTCGTTTTCGTTTTACCCCGAAAGAAACCGATAAAGAAGTACTCGGTTAATCACGACTTTGTGTTTAAGTTTAGTTAACTAGTTAGTTGATTAGAATTCGTGTTGAGGTGAAGTTTAAAAGGTTTAAAGAAACAAATATATATAAAATAAAGTTAAAGGAAGTAATGAGAAAGACAAATATGGATGATATTAAACCACTTTTATCTTTTGGTGATGATTATTTGAGGTTTGTTTGATGTTGTGTTATCTATCGACGTTGTTTTTCTTTTTCTATAAATAATAAGCATATTTTAAACGTGTTTTTACGTTCAAAAATGTTTTTTAATACATTTTTTAACTTTACAAAGACGCCGTGTTTGTTTAAATCATTTTCTGTTCAATTTTTTTCATACATATTCATATCATTATATTTTCTAGGTTAATTAAAAACAATTTTTTAATTTAACTTTATAATTTTTAAATTTTTATTCCTTTTTTAGTGACGCAGCGGAATCGATGGGTTTCGAACCCTTAATAAATCAACTATCCAACGAAACTCAACCCATATTAACCGAAAAAGGTGATACAACCCAAAAGCTTATCAAGAAGCAACCTCACGAAACAATCCGCATAAAAATAGTTGGTATGACATGTCAATCGTGCGTTCGAACGATAGAAGACACCTTATCGAACCGTCCAGGAATTCAAACCATTAAAGTAAATCAAAAAAAGATATCATTCTTTGATATAATTCTTTTAAACGTATCATCTTTTTAAATTCCTTTTTCGTGCGTGTTTATTTTAAGGTGAACCTCGCTGATAATTCGGCTTTAATCGTCTATGACTCGACCGCAATTAAACCGCACGAAATACGCGATGCCATCGATGATATGGGTTTTGAGGCATCGTTACCGTTGTTAGTGGACGAAGAACCGAGCGAGTGCGTGGTTAAAATCGAAGGAATGACCTGTAATTCATGTGTGAAGAGCATAGAAGGGATGATTTCTACCAAAGATGGAGTTAGAAGCATTAAGGTCGATTTAAAAGGGAAACGTGGGACAGTCAGGTATTTAGAAGGTGTTGTTTTACCGGAAGAAATTGCTGAGAATATCGCTGATATGGGGTTTGATGCAAGCATTGAGATGGTTAATGGGAAAATGTATCAAAATAAAAGTGGTAAGTTAATACTTTTTATATCAAGTACTAGTATTTTCGTTTTCATCTCTCTAAAAATATAAGACTTCTCAGAATAAACAGAACACTGATGGCAGCTACTATGGCACTGAAGCAAATATTAGAGTCAAAATGATGAGTAAATAATCTAGAGTTTGATTTTGTACTTTTAAACTGGTTTTTATTTTATATAGAATTTAAGTCTAACTAGTTTCGGCTCTTGGCCATCTTCTGAGACTCTACAAATAAATTAACATCTCTCATCTTATCCATTTTACAAACAAGTCTCTTAATATTTCTTTTTCTTTTGTTAAAAAGATCACATATCAAAGTCGAAATCAGATTATTAGTTGCTAATTTACAAAATTAAAGTTTAAAACGTTGTAAAATGAAATTAAACACGAAATGATGCAAAAAACACGTTCAAAATAAAAAGATTGTGCGAAAAAGTAAGTGACTATTATATGATAACTAACTTCAGGTTTAAAATGTCAACCTCAATTTTGACATATTTGTAATCTTCATTAAAAATCCTTTAAAATGAGTACAAACACGACATATTTATCTTTAATATTAATGAAGTTATGGTCAACTTCCGGTTAAGAATATCAACGTCAATTTTGACATATTTGTAATCGTCGTGAAAAATCCTTTAAAATGAGTCCAAACATGATACGTTTAATTCCAATATTACTTGGGATATGAGCAACTTCCGGTTTGAAATGTCAATGTCATTTTGATATATTCTTAATTTTTATAAAATTTGTCACGAAAACAAAAATATAATAAAAAAAATTAAATAATTTGGGTTGGTACTAACATTTAAAAATTAAATTGCTATCTTCATTGTTGCTAACTTCGGGTTTAACGTTTTTTATTCCAACTCTTTTGTTTTTTGAGATAAGTCCGTCATGTTTGGACTTATTTTAAAGGTAATTTTATAAAGATTACAAATATAATAATAAAATTAAAGTAAGTCTTAATCGTAGCCGTGTGTCGAAATTCTTTCAAAAAACACGAATGAAGATGACAAATATGTCAAAATTGACGTTGACGTTTCAAACCGGTTAAATTAAAAAATACCAATTAATATTAAAGTTAAATATGTATATCGAGTTTGGACTCATTTTAAATAATTTTTTATGAAGTTGAAAACGTCAAAAAAAAGTCATTTGAAAAAGAGGTTAGGTTGTGTTGAAAAAGTGAAATTAGAAATCCTCAACATTATTTTCCAGCACCAACACGGCCGTTTTCGAAGACATCGGCCGCCCATTTTACCAACACAACTTAACCTCACTTTTTCTCCAGATGTAATAAGAAATAAAACTAAAACTAGAAATTTTTGAGGTTATGCCGTGCGTCTACAAATTTAATGTACTTACTCTTTCTTAAAAACGGACCTTTCAGCTTCATTTAATGCGAAAATTGATTAATATAACCGTGATAATTATTATAAAACTTTATCTTGATTGAACAAGCGATTTTTTTAAAGATGACGGTGCTTGTTGATAAATCACCATGGTAAAGGCAGGGTTGAAAGCTTTTAAACACAAAATTATTTTAATCACAAAATTTTCATACTCTTCTGCTGATGTAATTAGAAATAAAACTAAAACTAGAAATTTTAGGGTTATGCCGTCTTTGACGCACGGCATAACCTCAAAATTTCTAGTTTTAGTTTTATTTCTAAGACTGGATGATTTAAATAACATTTAAAGCATTTAAAATTATGATAAAACCTTTTAAATATGATCTTCATTAAATAATAAATATTTATGAGGTGCTGTCAAACGAAATGTCAAATATTTTTTAAAGGTAATCAGGCCAAAATTAATGTTCTACTGCCTCGGCCGCAAGCGACCTCGGCTTTAATAACACCAAATCATTCATTCTGCATCATATAACACAATTTAAATATGCAGCACTTTATTAAATAATAAATATTTATGAGGTGCTGTCAAACGAAATGTCAAAAATATTTAAAAACTACTCCATTTTGCTTCAATATTCAACTGCCTCAGCCGCAAGCGGCCTCGGCTTAGTTAATTACACATCGTTTAATTGAATCTTATAACGCAAATTAAATGGGCAGTAATTTAAAAAAACAATTATTTGGTATAAGATGCTGTCAAACGAAATGTCAAATATTTTTTAATGGTAATTGGCCAAAATCAATGATCTACTGCCTCGGCCGCAAGCGACCTCGGCTTAATTACACGAAATCATGCATTCTGCTCTATATAACACAATTTAAATACGCAGCACGTCCTTAAGTGCAAATTTTTATGAGGTACTGTCAAACGAAATGTCAAAAATCTCTCAAAGCTACTCAATTTTGCTTAAATATCCATCTGCCTCGGCCGCAAGCGGCCTCGGATTGATTAATTACACGTCGTTTCATTGCATCCTATAAATTAGACGCAAAATTATTTGGTATAAAAACGAAATGCCAAATATTTTTAAAGGTAATCAGACCAAAATCAATGTTCTACTGCCTCGGCCGCAAGCGACCTCGGCTTAATAACACGAAATCATTCATTGTGCATCATATAACACATATTATTATATACACAACGCTTTATTACACAAAACATTGTATGCAGTGTTGTCAAGGGAACTGTCAAAAATGTCTTAAATTTAAATGTCAAATATTTTTTAAAGGTAATCATGTAAAAATTAATGCTTTACTGCCTCGGCTGCAAGCGACCTCGGCTTAATATCACAAAATCATTCATTCTGCATCATATAATACAATTTAAATACGCATTACTTCCTTAAATAATAGTTATTTGCGAGGTGCTGTCAAAAGAAATGTCAAAAATCTCTCAAAGTTACTTAATTTTGCTAAAATATGCATCTGCCTCGGCTCAATTAATTCCACGTCGTTTAATTGCATCCAATAAATTAAACCCAAAATTATTTGGTATCAAAACGAAATGTCAAATATTTTTTAATCAGGTTAAAATTGATATTCTATTATTTCTTAAAGAATATCACGCCTTCTACATTTATTTTTTAAATTTTCAGTGTCTAAAACCCCAAACGGAATCACCGAATCTGAAAAACCGGCCGAAACAACTTTATCCCGCTGCCAACTTCACATTAAAGGAATGACGTGCGCATCGTGCGTAGCCGCCATCGAAAAGCACTGTTACCGCTTAAACGGATGTCACAAAATCTTAATTGCCCTTTTAGCCGCCAGGGCGGAAATCCAATACGACCCGAACCTAATCGATCCGAACGAATTGGCCGCTTCCATAACCGATCTCGGATTTCCCGCCTCCGTTCTCCAACAATCCGGATTAGGCGAATCCGAATTAACTTTAAAAATAACCGGGATGACGTGTTCTAGTTGCGTGCACAAAATCGAATCCACCGTTTTAAAAATGACAGGTGTCACATCGGCCAACGTTGCGCTAACGACTCATAGAGGGTGCTTTAAATACGACCCGGAAGTGACGGGCGCCCGGGATATCATTGAAGGAATTAAAAAGATGGGTTTCGAAGCGGAATTATTTTCGCGCGAACACAACGGCGATTATTTACAACAAAAACAAGAAATTAAGAAGTGGCGAAACACTTTTTTGATATCTTTGTTGTTCGGTGGTCCGTGTATGTTTGCGATGGTTTATTTCATGGCGGTTATGTCGATAAAGGAATCGCACGCGGATATGTGTTGCGTCATCCCCGGATTATCATTAGAAAATTTGATAATGTTCGCTTTATCGACTCCCGTTTTGATTTGGGGGGGGAAACATTTTTTTATTCAAGCTTACAAAGCTTTGAAACATCACACGACTAATATGGACGTTTTAATTGCGATGGCAACCTCGATTAGTTACGTTTATAGCGTGATTGTGGTGGCGGCGGCGATGATCATGCAGCAAGATGTTTCGCCACAAACATTTTTTGATACACCACCCATGTTGTTGGTTTTTATCAGTTTGGGGCGATGGCTCGAACATATCGCGAAAGGGAAGACGTCAGAGGCTTTATCTAGGTTGTTATCATTAAAAGCAACTGATGCAACGCTGGTTAGTTTGAATTCGGAGAAGGAGGTGGAGAAGGAAAGGCAGGTTCATGTTGATTTGGTGCAAAGAGGGGATATTTTGAAGGTAATTTTTTTATTTTGTTTATTTTTTTTATCTCATGTGGGTACAGAAATACCACAAACAACCAAAGGATCAATATGTTTATCAAATAATAATTTGTGATCAAATATAACACCCAAATCTCTAATAAATGAGACATGTTGCAACAACCTCTCACCAGACGCTATAATTGTGTAGTGGATTGTGTTCACCCTCCTGAAGAAGGAGGGTGAATTAAGAAGGGTGTAAGAATATTACACTTTGATAAATTTAATGACAGGCGATTATTTAAGCAAAAAGCATGTAGATTATTTAAGTCAGATTACAGTCTAGAACAACCACGAGGTGAGGAAATTATTATTATTATTACTTGTAATCTTCATTAAAAATCCTTTAAAATGAGTACAAACACGACATATTTATCTTCAATATTAATGAAGTTATGGTCAACTTCCGGTTAGGAATGTCAACGTCAATTTTGACATATTTGTAATCGTTGTGAAAAATCCTTTAAAATGAGTCCAAACATGACACGTTTAATTCCAATATTACTCGAGATATAAGCAACTTCCGGTTTGAAATGTCAATGTCATTTTGATATATTCTTAATTGTTAAAGAATATGTTAAAATTTGTCACAAAAACAAAAATATATTATAAAAAATCAAAAATTAAGGTTGGTAATAATATTTAAAAATTAAATTGCTATCTTCATTGTTGCTAACTTCGGGTTTAACGTTTTTTATTCAAACTTTTTTGTTTTTTGAGATAAATAAATGCATCATATTTGGACTGATTTTAAACGTTTTTTAATAAAGAATAAATCATGTGGAACACCATGAAGTTGTCCATATGTCTATTATATGATAACTAACTTCAGGTTTAAAATGTCAACCTCAATTTTAACATATTTGTAATCTTCGTTAAAAATCCTTTAAAATGAGTACAAACACGACATATTTATCTTCAATATTAATGAAGTTATGGCCAACTTCCGGTTAGGAATGTCAACGTCAATTTTGACATATTTGTAATCGTTGTGAAAAATCCTTTAAAATGAGTCCAAACATGATACGTTTAATTCCAATATTACTCGAGATATAAGCAACTTCCGGTTTGAAATGTCAATGTCATTTTGATATATACTTAATTTTTATAAAATATGTTAAAATTTGTCACAAAAACAAAAATATAATATAAGAAATCAAAAATTAAGGTTGCTATTAATGTTTAAAAATTAAATTTCTATCTTTATTGTTGCTAACTTCAGGTTTAATGTTTTCTATTCTAACTTTTTTGATTTTTGAAATAAATGCATCATATTTGGACTCATTTTAAATGTTTTTTTAATAAAGAATAAATCATGATGGAACACCATGAAGTTTTCTATATGTCTATTATATGATAACTAACTTCAGATTTAAAATGTCAACCTCAATTTTGACATATTTGTAATCTTCATTAAAAATCCTTTAAAATGAGTACAAACACGACATATTTATCTTCAATATTAATGAAGTTATGGTCAACTTCCGGTTAGGAATGTCAACGTCAATTTTGACATATTTGTAATCGTTGTGAAAAATCCTTTAAAATGAGTCCAAACATGATACGTTTAATTCCAATATTACTCGAGATATAAGCAACTTCCGGTTTGAAATGTCAATGTCATTTTGATATATTCTTAATTGTTATAAAATATGTTAAAATTTGTCACAAAAACAAAAATATAATATAAAAAATCAAAAATTAAGGTTGGTATTAATATTTAAAAATTAAATTTCTATCTTTATTGTTGCTAACTTCAGGTTTAATGTTTTCTATTGTACCTTTTTTGTTTATTGAGATAAATGCATCATGTTTGGACTCATTTTAAAGGTTTTTTAATAAAGATGACAAATATGTCAAAATTGACGTTGACGTTTCAAACCGGAAGTGATTGTATCTCCATTAATATTAAAGTTAAATATGTCGAGTTTGGACTCATTTTAAAGGATTTTTTTTGAATATGTCAAAATTAAAACTTTTAATTTTCTATATTAAATTTTAAATTTATTTTATTTTTCGTCAGTTTTTACATTACTATGTCAATATGTATTAAGTAGTAATTGTTTAGCCGAAATTTGACAAAGATAGCTTTATTTTTATAGAAATTAAACAGAATTGCAAAAGTTGAGTTGGAAAAAAATAGAACAACTTAACAATTTATAGGTAAATAACAGTTAAATTGAATAAAAAGCAAAGATTATTTAGTACTTAATACAATCTCCTTTATTATTAATGAAATCGTGACACCTTCGTGACATTGACTGTTAAATTGTCAATGGTTTTTTTTCCATATTTTAGACCATTCATTTTCCATAGATTTTCTATAGGATTTAAGTCTGGTGACTGTAATGGCCAAGTCATTAAATTTATTTTATTTTGTTCAAACCATTCCTTTACGACTTTAAATGTGTTTCGAATCCTTGTCCTGTTGAAATTTATAAGAGATAGGCAGATTTTCGTCGGCATAAAACATTTCTTTTTGTTGGTCAGTTTATACAACTTTGTACGTAAAAAAATTTAGTTTTTATTAAATAAATTTAGTAATTAAAGCGTTTAAGAAGAAAAAATTATTAATTTTATGTTAAATTAATGTTTAAATGTCATATTTGACGCATATGAACGTAGCCCATAGGCTACGTTCATCAACCCAACTCAATAATAAAACCAAATTTTGAGTTTTTTACAATTTTGGGTTATTACTTGTTAATTTTAAATGATGGAACGTTTATAATTAACTCATAAAACATATCCAATGAGTGAAATAATCCATCGACCAGTAGTACCAACCCAACCCAAAAATAAATCTAAATTTTGAGGTTTTTGACAATTTTCTGAATAAACTTTTTGTTCGTATGTGTTAAAAATTAGTTTTTATTAAATAAATTTAATAATTAATGCGTTTAAGAAGACACAATGATTAATTTTATGTTAAATTAATGTTTAAATATCAAATTTGACGCACACGTTATATGAACGTAGCCCATAGGCTACATTCATATAATGAATTTAATTTTTTATTTTTAATTAAATTTAATTTAAATTTCCTTTGTGTTCAAATTAACTTTGATATTTTAACATTAAAACATGTTAAAGTTTTTAATTATACAGTTATTACTATATACAGTTCTTAATTATTAATTCTTTAATAAAATTAAACATTTCGGATACGTTCATTTAAAACGTCAAATTTGACAATTCAAATTGTCATAACTTCTTTAGCGACAGGTGTTTAAAGTAAGTTTGGATTAATGTTAGCGCCTTGGATGGCGAGTGGAACGATGGGTTTAAGTAGTGTTGGGTGTTCTTTATTACTAAAATTGTGGAAAAAATCAACTAAAGAAGAATCAAAAACTCGTATGTATGTATTTCTTAGCAAAGTTGTTTTCTCTAAAACTCTAAATAAAAAGATAAAGCCATTGTACAGGTAATATCGTCGAGAAAAAAAAACAAGTTTATCAACACCTTAATTAGTATAGGATGATTTGACTTATTTTGATGATTTTTATTTTATTTTATTTATTTTTTTTTAGGTTATACCTGGTGCGAAAATTCCCGTTGATGGGAAAGTCCTTCAAGGGCAATCAATGTGCGATGAAAGCTTAATAACCGGTGAAAGTATGCCCGTTCCTAAAAAAATTGGGAGTTCCGTCATCGGGGGCTCCATCAACCAACACGGCCTTTTAATCCTCGAAGCGACCCACACCGGCGAATCCACCACTTTATCTCAAATTGTGCGCCTCGTCGAAGAAGCCCAAACATCCAAAGCCCCAATTCAACAACTCGCCGATAAAATCGCGGGATATTTCGTTCCTATCGTTGCATTTTTAGCCCTTTTAACACTTTTAATTTGGATGATTATCGGATTCACCGATATCGATTTACTCCCGATTTCGGAGCACGAACGGATTGGATTTACCGACACCGAAGTGATTTTCCAATTCGTTTTTCGTTGCGCTTTAAGTGTATTAGCCATCGCTTGTCCTTGCGCTTTGGGATTAGCGACCCCTACGGCGGTGATGGTGGGAACTGGAGTGGGGGCGATGAACGGAATCTTAATAAAAGGGGCAGAACCCCTCGAAAACGCCCACAAAGTCAAAGCGATCATGTTCGATAAAACGGGAACCATAACAAAAGGATTACCGGAAGTTTCAAAAATCTTTTTAAAAATCGATTTATTATCCCCCCTCCTTGTTTTTGCCGGATTAGGAACGGCCGAGAAAGATTCCGAACACCCAATCGGTTTCGCAATCGTCCGATTCGTTAAGGAGATCTTCCAAACGGAAATAACCGGAATTTCGAGCGATTTTCAAGCCGTACCCGGATGTGGAATGAAATGTAAAGTCTCCGGATTAAATTCACTCATTTCGAATCACAATTCTTATTCGAAAGATTTAATTAATTTCTTATCGTACTTAAATAAAGGCTCGTCAGGTAAATTCCAACTTAAAGACGTTGAAATCGAAATAACCGGGAGCGAAAATTTAAAACTCAACGAATTATTAGGGGGCGAACTCAACAATTTTAATGACCCGGATAAATTTGAGGTTATTGTGGGAAATCGAGAGTGGATGAACCGAAATGGGATGATTTTAAAACCGGATATTGATTTTAAAATGAACGAGGAGGAGGAAATGGGGAGATCGGCCGTTTTATGCGCTATAAATGGTACTTAAAGGGATTTTATTGAAATAATTAGAAATTAATTGATTTTTTTTAGGTGAAATTGTCGCTATGGTTAGTGTCGCGGATACGGTTAAACCCGAAGCACATCTCGCGGTTTATTCGCTGAAAAAAATGGGGTTAGATGTTATTTTATTAACTGGTGATAATCGGAAAACTGCTACTAGTATTGCAAGGCAAGTTGGGATTACGAAAGTGTATGCTGAAGTTCTTCCTTCTCATAAAGTCGCTAGAGTACAAAGGTAATTAATTTAATTTATATTTTAGTGCTTTCAAATTAATACTTAATCATAATTTTGACAGTTCTAGGTTATGTTTTTAATTGTACTTTTAGGTTAGGTGTAATGTTAGATATAACACCAAGTAACTACTTAAATAATTTATTAAAAGTAACTTATAAAACTTTTTATAACTACATCTGAATTCAATTCTTAACATAACCTTAATTAATGACAGTCTCTTACTACTAGATGGCGTAACCATATATGACATTAGCTTTTAACCTAACAAGTGTTTTTTAAGATAATTTAGAGCTGTTTTAATATTTTATTAATTAGTAGGTAGCAGTAGGTAGAGAAAAAGGAGCTCGACATGTCATTTAGAACGTCAAATTGTAAGAAAATTGTAAATTTAATCTTTAGATGTCATTCAAATGTCATTTTTGACATTAAAAATCATTTTGTGATGAAAAATGATCAAATTTGACAGTTAGAACGTCAGTTGGTAGCAAAAATGAGGTTGACATATCATTTGGAATGTCAAACTGTAAGAAAATTGTTAATTTAATGTTTAAGATGTCATTTAAATGTCATTTTTGACATTAAAATCTTTTTATGGTGAAAAATGATCAAATTTGACAGTTAGAACGTCAATTGCTAGCAAAAATGTAGGTTAACATATCATTTGGAATGTCAAACTGTAAGAAAATTGTTAAGTTAATGTTTAAGATGTGATTTAAATGTCATTTTTGACATTAAAATCTTTTTGTGATGAAAAATGACCAAATTTGACAGTTAGAATGTCAATTGGTAGCAAAAACTTAGGTTGACATCATTTGGAATGTCAAACTGTAAGAAAATTGTTAAGTTAATGTTTAAGATGTCATTTAAATGTCATTTTTGACATTAAAACCTTTTTGTGATGAAAAATGACCAAATTTGACAGTTAGAACGTCAATTAGTAGCAAAAATTTAGGTTAACACATCATTTGAAATGTCAAAATGTAAGAAAATTGTAAATTTAATCTTTAAGATGTCATTTAAATGTCATTTTTGACATCAAAATCTTTTTGTGATGAAAAATGATCAAATTTGATAGTTAGAACGTCAATTGGTAGCAAAAATGAGGTTGACATATCATTTGGAATGTCAAACTGTAAGAAAATTGTTAAGTTAATGTTTAAGATGTCATTTAAATGTCATTTTTTACATTAAAATCATTTTGTGATGAAAAATTATCAAATTTGACAGTTAGAACGTCAATTGGTAGCAAAAATTTAGGTTAACATATCATTTGGAATGTCAAACTGTAAGAAAATTGTTAAGTTAATCTTTAAGATATCATTTTTGCCATTAAAATCAATTTGTGATGAAAAATGATCAAATTTGACAGTTAGAATGTCAACTGGTAGCAGAAAATAAGCTAAATATGTCATTTAGAATGTCAAATTGTCAATTTTGTTTAGAAATTTGACATTTCTAGGTTATCTTTTTAATTATACATTGAGGTTAGGTTTAATATTTGTCCGTTATAAGTTTATAGACATAACACTAAGTAATTACTAGCACTTTACTTTATAAATAATGTATTAAAAGTAACTTATAAAACGTTTTATAACAACATTTGAACTCAATTCTTAACATAACCTTAATTAATGACAGTCTCTTACTACTAGATGGCGTAACCCAAGGTCTATAGAACATAAGGTTACCCAATACCGATTCTCCTCCTCTGAGAGGCAAGGTGGGTCAGTGACGTAGCTGGTTCTATGAACAANACTGTAAGAAAATTGTTAAGTTAATGTTTAAGATGTCATTTAAATGTCATTTTTTACATTAAAATCATTTTGTGATGAAAAATTATCAAATTTGACAGTTAGAACGTCAATTGGTAGCAAAAATTTAGGTTAACATATCATTTAGAATGTCAAACTGCAAGAAAATTTGTCAATTTTGTCTTTAAGCTATCATTTTGATGTCACTTTTGACGTTAAAATCTTGTGATGCAAGATCATCAAATTTGACAGTTAGAACGTCAATTGGTAGCAAAAAGTTAGGTTAACATATCATTTGGAATGTCGAATTCAATTCTTAACATAACCTTAATTAATGACAGTCTCTTACTACTATATATGACATTAAGGTTTAACCTAGAAAGTGTTTTTTAAGATAATTTAGAGCTGTTTTTTTAAAATCTTTTATTAATTTATTTCTATTTTACTAATTTTATTTGTTTTTTTAGATTACAATCACGTGGTATTAAAGTTTGTATGGTAGGTGATGGGATTAATGATTCTCCAGCTTTGGCCCAAGCGAACGTTGGAATGGCTATAGCAGCCGGAACTGATGTTGCAGTGGAGGCCGCTCACGTTGTTTTAATGAAAAGCGATCTTTTGGATGTTGTGGCTTGTTTGGAATTGTCAAGAAAGACCGTTAATCGAATTAGAATGAACTTTTTGTTGGCCAGTTTATACAACTTACTTTGTAAGTAAAAAAGTTTACTTTTTATTAAATTAATTTAATAATCAATGCGTTTAAGAAGACAAAATGATAAATTTTATGTTAAATTAATGTTTAAATGTCATATTTGACACATATGAACGTAGCCCACAGGCTACGTTCATGTAATTAATTTTTTATTTTTAATTAACTTTAATTCAAATTTATTTTATAATCAAATTAACTTTAATATTTAAACAATTTAAACATTAAAAGGCATATTTCAAGAATAAAAACATATAATTCTTAATTATTAATTAAACATTAAGTCACGTAGCCTACGTAGGCTACGTTCATGTAATTAATTTTTTATTTTTAATTAAATTTTATTTAAACCTATTTTATATTCAAATTAACTTTAATATTTAAACAACTTAAACATTAAAAGTCATATTTCAATAATAAAAACATAAAATTCTTAATTATTAATTAAACTACTAAATTTTGAATACGTTCATTTAAAACGTCAAATTTGACATTTGATATTAAAAATCATAATTTCTTTTAGGTATTCCTTTAGCGGCGGGTGTTTTCAGTAAGTTTGGATTAATGTTAGCGCCTTGGATGGCGAGTGGAGCGATGGCTTTAAGTAGTGTTTCGGTCGTTGGGTGTTCTTTATTATTAAAGTTGTGGAAAAAACCGACTAAAGAAGAATTAGAAACTTCCGAGTATCTCGCTTTGAAGAATAATTGCAACGACTTGGATGGAATTTCGGTTCATCGGGGATTAGATGATATCGAAAACGTCGGGAATGGAGATACAACTTTATCAAGGTAAAAAAAAGTCGAATTTAAATTAATAAATTGTTATATTTAAGGTTATTTATGAAATTAAATCGTTTTTTAAATTAGTTTTTTAATGTTTAAATCCCGTATATTTAAAAAAAAAGTTTATGAAAAGCTCAAATTACACCGATTAAATTTAATCTAAATGAACGATTTAGGTTATGTATCAAATTCTTTTTAAAATTTGAAATTGATTTAGTTCTTTTTGTTTTTGTGCGAAATAAAATATCCCTAAATCTTTATTATTGTTTTTTTTTTTTAGGTTTTTGGGACGTACAAAACACGATTTGTTGCTTTCTACTGAGAATGAAGACGAATTATCTTTCGTTTATAAAAATAAAAAGCGGCCAACATCACAAGAGAATAAGATCGTTTAGGTAAAGAAAATGATACCTAGGTAGGTGAAAATTTTATTTCCTATTTGTACTTAAAGCGAGAATAAAAAATGAGATTATTTTTAACGAAAAAGAGTACGCAAAGAATTACCATTATTAAAAAAAATATAATAAAATAAATAATAATCTGTGATTCCTCTTAAATTATTATTATTATTTTATTATTATTTTTTTTCTGTTTTCATTGAGATGTGCGAATCTTAAGATAATGCGAATTAGGTTAATTTTTATTGAGATTATTAATGTTTTATGAGAATTATTTTATTTTTTGAGGACGTATATGAAAATATCAAAAATATCTAACTGTATATAATATTGTATACAACATAATTTTATTGTAATTAATCGAACGTTAACAAACATCACATTTATGAACAGATTTTAGTTCTTTTGGTTAAAACAAACTGATATTTTTGTATTTTACTGTTTACATTATTATTATTATTGAATAGAAAAGATACAAATATTAGAAAGAGGTTTGTTTCAAGATACCAACCTAAAAAAGAATCATTTTAATAACATCCTCAATTGAAACTGAAGCAATCTCAATTCAATCCAAACCAATTTAACCCAACTTTTTTTGATCTGTCAAAAAAGTTGGGTTATTTTGGATTGTGTTGAGTTTAGATTTTTGATGCGGAAAAGTTTCTAATTCCTGAAAATAACGTATTCCTACTAAATCTCCTTATCTTAAATCAGCACGGTTGGGGAATCCCCAAATTGAAGTTGATTGTGCCAAAACATTGTTGTTATATAGAGATCAGACTCTGATTACTTGAAATTTATGAAGTACCAAGTATTATACACAGGTTAGGTTTTTTTAAAACGTTGTGGACCGAATTTTAGAAATGATAGCCACTGGAAAATCAACCCAACCCAAAAATTAAACAGAATTTTGATGTTTTTGGCGATTTTCGGTTATACCTTATTAATTATAAATGATGGAGGATTACTTTTTAAACAAAAAATGTTTAGAATTAACTCATAAGACGTACTGAATACAGATATTTACTCCATCAATCAGTATTACCAACCGAACTTAAGAAAAATGGAAATTTTGACGTTTTCAACAATTTTCTTTTATACCTTAATAATTATAACTGATGGAAGAAAATGTTTCGTAAAACAAATGTTTAGAATTAACCCATAAAACATATCCAATGAGTTATTTTAATCCACCAATCAGTAGTACCAACCTAACTCAAAAATAAGACTAAATTTTGAGGTTTTTTGACAATTTGCGGTTATAACTTGTTAATTATGAATGATGGAGGGTTACTTTTTAGGTAAAAAACATTTAGAATTAACACATAAGACGTATTGAATACAGATATTTACTCCATCAATCAGTATTACCAACCCAAGTTAAGAAAAATAAAAATTTTAATGTTTTCAACAATTTTCTTATATAACTTAATAATTATAAATGATGGAAAAAAATGTTTCGTATAACAAATGTTTAGAATTAACCCATAAAACATATCCAATAAGTTATTTTAATCCACCAATGAGTAGTACCAACCTAACTCAAAAATAAAGCTAAATTTTGGGGTTTTTGTCAATTTTCGGTTATAACTTATTAATTTTGAATGATGGAGAATTACTTTTTAGACAAAAAACGTTTAGGATTAACTCATAAGACGTATTGAATACAGATATTTACTCCATCAATCAGTATTACCAACCCAACTTAAAAAAATTAAAATTTTGACGTTTGAACAATTTTCTTTTATAACTTAATAATTATAACTGATGGAAAAAAATGTTTCGCACAACAAATGTTTAGAATTAACCCATAAAACATATCCAGTGAGTTATTTTAATCCAACAATCAGTAGTACCAACCTAACTCAAAAATAAGACTAAATTTTGGGTTTTTTTGACAATTTTCGGTTATAACTTATTAATTTTGAATGATGGAGGATTACTTTTTAGGTAAAAAACGTTTAGAATTAACACATAAGACGTATTGAATACAGATATTTACTCCATCAATCAGTATTACCAACCCAACTTAAGAAAAATAGAAATTTTGACGTTTACAACAATTTTCAGATATAACTTAATAATTATAAATGATGGAAAAAAATGTTTCGTACAACAAATGTTTAGAATTAACCCATAAAACATATCCAATACGTTATTTTAATCCACCAGTCAGTAGTACCAACCTAATTCAAAAATAAAACTAAATTTTGGATTTTTTTGACAATTTTCGGTTATAACTTATTAATTTTGAATGATGGAGAATTACTTTTTAAACAAAAAACGTTTAGAATTAACTCGTAAGACGTATTGAATACAGATATTTACTCCATCAATCAGAATTACCAACGAAACTTAAAAAAATTGAAATTTTGACGTTTTCAACAATTTTCTTTTATAACTTAATAATTATAACTGATGGAAAAAAATGTTTCGTACAACAAATGTTTAGAATTAACCCATAAAACATATCCAATAAGTTATTTTAATCCACCAATGAGTAGTACCAACTTAACGCAAAAATAAAACTAAATTTAGGGTTTTTTGACAATTTTCGGTTATAACTTCTTAATTATGAATGATAGAGGATTACTTTTTAGACAAAAAACTTTTATAATTAACTCATAAGACGTATTGAATACAGATATTTATCCCATCAATCAGAATTACCAACCCAACTTAAAAAAATTGAAATTTTGACGTTTTCATCAATTTTCTCCTATAACTCGTTAATTATAAGTGATGGAAAAAAATGTTTCATACAAAAAAGGTTTATAATTAACCCATAAAACATATCCGATGAGTTATTTTAATCCATCAGTCAGTAGTATCAACCTAACTCAAATATAAAACTAAATTTTAGAGTTTTTGACAATTTGCTTGTATAACTCATTAATTATAACTGATCGAAAAATATGTTTCGTACCAGAAAGGTTTAAAATTAACCAATAAAACATATCTAATAAGTTATTTTAATCCACCAATCAGTAGTACCAACCTAATTCAAAAATAAAACTAAATTTAGGGGTTTTTGACAATTTTCGGTTATAACTTGTTAATTATGAATGATGGAGGATTACTTTTTAAACAAAAAACGTTTGGAATTAACTCATAAGACGTATAGAATACAGATATTTACTCCATCAATCAATATTACCAACCCAACTTAAGAAAAATAGAAATTTTGACGTTTTCAACAATTTTCTTGTATCACTCATTAATTATAACTGATGAAAAAAAATGTTTCGTACAAAAATGGTTTAAAATTAACCCATAAAACATATCTAATAAGTTATTTAAAAAAATAACACCAAATTTTGATGTTTTTGAACATTTTCGGTTATAACTTATTAATTATTCATGATGGAGAATTCCTTTTTAAGCAAGAAATGTAGAGAATTAACGCATAAAACGTATTTAATAAATATATTTGTTCCATCAATCAGGATTACCAACTCAACCTAAAAAAAAAATATATATTTTGACATTTTCATCAATTTTTCAAAGTTGGTAACTATCTTTTTAAAGGGGTGATATACTTATGATGATATATATCCTTGAAAATCGGTATTACGTTCTTAAACATCGTAATAAAATTATGTTGTAAAATAGCAATATTCTATTACGCCAACTTCGTGTCAAATTGGTTCGCAACATGGCTAACTGCACCTACTTTCAGTATTAAACGTTAGATGTCGTTGGCGAATTTTTCGAAGTTAATTTTTAATTTCTATTAACATTTTTAAATTATTGATTTTTTTTATAATAAAATCCTTTTTATTATAAAGTATTTCTACATTTATATGAAATATCTTCAAAATGATTAATTTTAATTATACTTTTTTATTCGCAACATCTTTAATTTCCAAACAACGGCTTTATTATTATTTATTAATTATTATTTTTTTACACTTTTTTTTTATTTGTTGATACAAAAATAGGAAAAAAATTATCGACTAAAATACGATTTTACCTAACCTTATTGTTCGCAATAAACCAAAGAAATACTCCTAATTGCTTCTGTTAGGAGGACGTCGGGAAATAGAAAACTAAGCGCGGTCGTAACTCGTGGTTTTCTCGGATGGTGGCGGCACTTTCTCCGTTTGCGAGGACAGCGCTCCGAAGGCAATTTCGACTGGGTTTTCGGGGACTTTACGGCCGCAAGAAACGCCCTCGTTCGTTCGCGTTAGCTTTTCGGGGAAAGACCCGCAATGAATTTTCCTCCTTAACGAAACTAAACGGTCCACGGAAAATATATTTTCCGAATGTAATAGAAAAAGAAAATCTCGCTTTTAAAGGGTTCTTACAAACATTTATTTTACCTTTTATTCATTAATTAATTAATTAATTAAAGAACTAAAATCTAATTACGTTAAATTGTTAATTGAAATGAAAATCGAATTTCTTCGGGATTTCATCTCTAATTCAATTATCTCAGATCTTTAAATCTCTTTTTGATTGGATAATTGAAAAGAATATCGTAAAGAATTGATTTGAACCTATATATATATACTAGATACTTATCGTGTAATTTCAAAATGTCTTCATACAGAATTCAAATTGAGAATCAAGTGATGTTAATTAACATGCGGAAAGGTTATGATTAGGCAGTATCTACTCTTCTGCCAGCAGTATCTAATGTCCTGGTAACAATATGAAGTTTTCCATGTAGAGATATCACTCCATTTAGAGTGTCTAGTCTTCTGTCAGTAAAATCTAGTCTTCTGCCAACAATATCTAGTCTTTTATTAGCACTATTCAGTCTTCTGCCAGCAGTATTTAATGTCCTGGTAACAATATGAAGTTTTCCATGTAGAGATATCACTCCATTTAGAGTGTCTAGTCTTCTGTCAGTAAAATCTAGTCTTCTGCCAACAATATCTAGTCTTTTATTAGCACTATTCAGTCTTCTGCCAGCAGTATTTAATGTCCTGGTAACAATATGAAGTTTTCCATGTAGAGATATCACTCCATTTAGAGTGTCTAGTCTTCTGTCAGTAAAATCTAGTCTTCTGCCAACAATATCTAGTCTTTTATTAGCACTATTCAGTCTTCTGCCAGCAGTATTTAATGTCCTGGTAACAATATGAAGTTTTCCATGTAGAGATATCACTCCATTTAGAGTGTCTAGTCTTCTGTCAGTAAAATCTAGTCTTCTGCCAACAATATCTAGTCTTTTATTAGCACTATTCAGTCTTCTGCCAGCAGTATTTAATGTCCTGGTAACAATATGAAGTTTTCCATGTAGAGATATCACTCCATTTAGAGTGTCTAGTCTTCTGTCAGTAAAATCTAGTCTTCTGCCAACAATATCTAGTCTTTCATAAGCACTATTTAGTCTTCTGCCAGCAGTATCTAGTATTTTGGTAGCAATGTGAAGTCTTTTACAAACAATCTGTACTCCAGTTTAAGAATTTAGTTATCATTAAAGGTTTTTTTTGCTATAAGTTGCTAAATTAGGTCTTCTGAGTATTGTCCCAAAAT